CCTTTTTGTCAATATACCGCACTGTGGACCGTCCCTTCGCCATTCTTCACCATAACCTTACTTAGGTCTTACTTAAGGGTACCACAGTCATATGATTACTCTGCCATCCACAGGATTCAAACCCATTCACCCACACATGGGCACCAATCCCTAACCCAAGCTTTTTTAAAAGCCCCTCCCTGACGGCTGATTGGCTATTGGCTTCCATGTGACACATTAACATCCCAGAATAGCCCAGAGAATTTTTCCAAAGTATACTCTCAGAACTTCAAGACAATAAACATTTAAACCGCCCCATATTATAGGCTATTTAATGTTTTTTTTAAAAAAATTTTTTAAAGTATATAATCATTAAATAATACCTGGGGTATTTATATGGCTCTTACCACTAAGATAAACACAACTTTTATTTTGCAGTTGTATAAAAACTTCAGATCAATTAGCAGCAGATGAAAAGACATGGTCCACATGTGGCCAGCAGAATTTAGCCCAGACATATGTTATTATTTATCTTTACAAAAATGTTAAATCAAAAACTAAAAACAGCTTCGTTACATTTTTCCGTGTTATTCAATGTTACTTGGGCAGCTTGTTTGGGCATTACATTTACAGGTGGTAAGCTATAGATTAACTGTGAAACAGTAATATTTAAATAGGCTGAAGGCAGCATTTTGAAGTTCGGTTGCTGCTTTTTGCAGAAAATAACTAATAAATGTAGCGTGACCTAAGTCTACATCACTATGAATCCCTGTTATTCATTCTCTCCACAGGAGTTGGTCTGTACCCCACAGGCTAATTTTCACACAGAAACAAACAGACATGCAATAAAACCAAGGAAAGGTGTTGAGAAAAAAAATTCACAGTGGTCCTTTGATGAAAAGTTCACAGTTTCTATAAAGTGTATATAGCTAAAGTAAAACAAGCTTGTTGTCGACACGCATTATATTACACTCCTGAAACCAAAAACAGTGATGTGGCAGTCATATAACTTTAATATAACTTTAATGTAACAGAATTCTGCAGTACCACAACAAAGAGTGGCAGCAATAGCAGTAATTTTATGTTCCTTCACAAGAATACATCTTTCAACTTAAATATTATTTTATTAAGCTTTGTTTTAAATTCCCTCAAATTTAAAAGATGACTGAATTCTTTATTAAACTAGTTTCACATTAATGTGTTAACATTTATAACACAATTCCCAATTGTTACTTTGCCTTATCACAGATGGCATATTTTTTCCAAGTTGTTGGGGACTCATAAATTAAGGGAGATTAAAATGTAGATCATCAGGGAGATAAAACATTGCCTTTTGTTATGGGAAAACTGTTTTTTATTTTCTAGACACATTTGGTGTTACGGCCAACAATTTCAGCCGGGGTGGATTTTATCCAGAACACAATAACAAAACAACATGGTTAAAGCTGTCGGAACTCGCAATTGAACACTGGGTTCATTAGTGAATCTCTTCAATCAATACCAGGGGTGAGCAATCTTATCCTCAAATGACCAGTGTGTATGTGGGTTTCTGGGATAATCGTTAGCTCAGCTATTCAAACCCAGGCGTGAGAACTCTTTAGCCAATCAATCCTCGAATTAATCTAATTAGGGAGTTGCAGCGAAAAGCCGCCCTTTTTGGATAAGATCGATAAGATTACCTGATCTACATCAAATTAATATCTGCAAGAAAAACTGTTTGTTTGTGTAGGGAGTTAGGAAGGATATTAAAAGGCTGTTACAACTGAAAATTCTGCTTTACATTCATTCAGAATTCAGTATGTCAAAGTCTGTTTACCCTATTCACTTTTTCCTAAATAAAATCAATTGCTTATGACAATAGATTGAAAGCCAGGTGCTTTAAGTGATGTTAATAGCTAGAATCCCTATGTTACATGCAGACGTCAGCTAATTTTACACACTGCATGTAGTAGACAGTGTACACGGAACTTTGCCTCACAAAATGACGTAAACTTAATACATTACCAAGGGTTTAATCTGGAAAGCTATAAAAACAGAGATCTCAATCACATAAAAACCTTTATCAGTTTTTAATTATCAACAATAAATGCAGCACAGCTGTGATGGGTTGGCGCCCCACCCTGAGTTGTTTCCTACCTTGGGATAGACTCCGGACCCCCCACGATTCTGCATAGGACATGCGGTTACATCGAATGGATGGATGGAAATATGGCTCATAAATCTAAAATAAATCTCAAATACCTGCATTGACACATATACTGACATTCCAAAGAAGCATCATCCTAATGAATCAGAGTTAGGTGTAGTAGTGCAAACATTTTTTTGTTTGTTAATAGAATATTATATAAATGTATATAACATAAGGTGAACCTGTCGCAATAAATAGCTACTGAGGTGCCGTACATTGGCTGTACGGTGATGTATAATTTAGAATCAGTTTTATTAGCCAAGTATTCATGCACACAAAGAATATGACATAGTGTATTTGCTCCTAATAAACATAGAACTAAAACAAACAAAAAAAAACGCAAACCAAACTAAGCTAAAACAAAAACTAAACTTATACCTAAGTTTGAAGGGATAAGGATGATAAGCAAGGATATTATATATTATAAAGATATATAAATGTATAGTAAAGTTCAGAGGTGCAGTAGTCCGGAGGTAGTGTTGGTCAGGTATTGATGTGGTGCTTCTGAAAGATCAGAACGTTTCCCTCAGGGCAGAATTTTGAGTTTGTGGCCAGGGTGGGAGTCGTCGGCCATGATCTTGCCAGCTCGCTTTTTTGTTCTTGAGGTGTGTAGTGAATCAGTGGGGGTGAAGTGAATGACCTTCTCTGCTTCTCAAATGATGCTGAGCTGAACCAACCGTGAGGGAGGACGTGAGAACTGATTCAGTGGTAGCTGTATAGAACTGGACCAGCATATATTGTCTGTGGATGGTAAGAGCTGCCACAGCAAAAACATCCTCTGCTGACTCTTCTTGACTATGCAGTCAATGATGATCTCCCACTTAAGGTCCTTGGAGATAATATTTCCAAAGAATTTAAATGACTCCACAGTAATACTGTCGATGGGGAAGGATTTCCAGAAGTACACAACCTTCTCCACTACCTTCATGGTGGCAAGCTCCAGGTAGTTGCTGTTGCACCAGAATGCTGCTGAACCACTGTATTCAGACTCGTCACTGTTCTGGATCAAACCTCTCATGGTGATATCATCTGCAAACTTCAGGATCTTAACAGAGGAGTTAATGGTGATATGGCCTTATAGTAATCCCAATGCTGAGCATTTCAGGTCCAGAAGCTACAAATCCAGATTTTGTTTCAACCAACCAGCTGAGCATAAAGAGTTACAGTCACAGAGTACTCAACTGGTTAGTAGAAACAGAATCTTGTTCTGGATTTGTAGCTTCTGGGCCTGAAATGCCCAACACTGAGTAATGCTGTGCTGAGGGTCAGGGAGCAGGAGGTGTGTCTTCCAAGCTTTATATGCCGCCTCCATTCTGATAGGAAGCTGGTGATGATCCACAGACATAGAGATTCTGGCAGGGACAGTGGGGTGTGCTCGGAGTGAGGGAACTCAGGGACAACGGTGTTAAATGTCAAGCTGACGTCTACAAACAGAGCTCTACCATAGATTCCCTGATGGCCCAGATGTTGAAAGATGAAACGCAGGCCAAGGTTGACCACATCAGCTGACCCATAGGCCCTGTGTGTGAACTGCAGGGGGTCAAGTAAGGGGGTCTCTAAGCTCTTTGAGGTGAGCAAGCACAACTCTTCCAAAAACCTTTATGACTACAGCAGTCACTGTAACCGACCTGTAGTCATTAAGTCTGTGAATGATGTTTGGCTTTAAACAGCATAACTGACTTATCAAGTGTCTTATTTTCTCATTGGTATTTTCCCTAAATACAAAGTCAAAATTAAATAAAGACATTTTCTCCCTTGTTTCACTTCTTTTATAATCTAGCAACATTGCACGTTATGCTTCAGAAGGTTGTTTCGAGACCTCCCCTAAGCTCACAATAAAAACTAACTAAACGTTCTATTGGGAGAGAGTAAATAGGCTCACAGACCTTTTATATGTCATGTCAGCTTGTTACTATATTGTTTTTCCAGTTTATAGTGCTCTAATGGCTTTACCCTCAGGGCCGCGTGAAACAATTCCAACAGACTCCAAGCCAGAGGTAATTCACTACCATTTACACACAAATCCCTGCATAATACCATCCAAAGCTACCAGGCGCAAATCCATTGCCAACATAAATATGTTAGTAGTTTAATTACTGGAAGGAAAACAAGGTGTGGCTTTTATTTTAGTGATGCATGAACTTCAGAAGTGATGCGTACAGTATCAGTTAAAAGTTTTTGCACACTGAGATTTTTGACATTTGCATGTTACTCATTTAACATTTACTAAAAATACACTCAGTATTTTTTGCTAACAAATACATTTACAGTATGTTCACCATTTGAGTACCTTTATTAGCAAGAAAATGTCATATCTTTGATTAATCAAAGTAACCTCCTCTAGCAGTTATAACAGCAGAGAAAATTTGAGACATTCTTTCTACAAGGGACATTAAATAATTTCATGGGACGAAAGAGTTAACTAGTGCATTTAAAGTTCAGGACAGCATAGAATTTGACTATGCCATCAAAGCACAACCATTTAACAGGATGTCAGACATGCACTGTTACATACTCATTCCATGTTATAAAGGAAATTGTGAATGTAATTTGACTTACATTTTCATTTATAGTTGTTCACTCAACTTTCCAATGCTTAGCAAGAATAAAAGAACATCAACAGTTAATGAAATAAATGGAAAAGTAGTGAAAACCTGTGGTGTGCAAAAACTTTTTACTTATAGTTTATGTAGCTTAGTGTTGCTAGATGAAATTAAGAAAAAACTAATGTAAGACGTCATGTCGCTAAAAACCTCACACTGCAATTGTAGCTCCTTCGTTACTTGTGCTCAAAATATTTGTTAGACCTTCTTAACTCTTCAAGTCATCAACATCATATTAAGTCACTGTCATTTATTATTCAGGAAAGTGATTATGAATGCTGAACTCCTTCATCCCCCAAGGACATTGTAATGTGAGAACCAAGACTTAACATTGGCTCTGGCTAAACGTCTAGGTCGTCTGGTCTAGGCCGGCTGCTAACACGACTAGTCTGGCTGAGTGGACGAGGTTCCAGAAGTCCCAGAGGCTGCAGCTCATGGCTCATTCTCAGCTTCGTTTCATTATGGCTCAGGTTCTCGGAGTCGTCAAAAGCCCGGGCGTGGGAGTTGGAGATGGTGCTGCCGTTCTGACCCAGCCGGCTTTGCTCGGCACTGTAGTTAGCCCAGTTCTGCTTGCTAGCTTGCGTGTTGTAGTTACGGCATGAGTTAGCCTTGTCCCCGATAGCTAGCTTGTACCCCGGCGGAGGAATGGGGGCTGCGATCGAAAAGCAACCATTGCAGGTAGCGTACTTGGAAGACGACAAGTCCTTGGGGTTGGGGCTTAAGTGGCCGCTGGCAAGGAAGTGGCTTTCGTTCATCTTTGTTTGATCCTTAATTCTTTTGAAGAAGACGTACGTCAGCTCGATCACATTCAGAAGAAGAGATGCGAGGGACACCACCAGCATGAAGATGATGAAGACCGTTTTCTCGGTGGGTCGAGATAGAAAGCAGTCAACTTTGTGGGGGCAGGGCCACCTCTCACATGTATAAATGGCATCCAGGCTGAACCCATAAACATACCACTGTATGAGCAGGAAGCCAACCTCGAAGATAGATTTGAAAATGATGCTCACGATGTATGTGCACAAGAGGGCGCCCTTCATCTTGACCCTACCGTGCTCCTTCAGCCCATACTTGAACTTCTTCACCTCGATGGCCTTCAGAGGGAGGTCCACGTCCACACCCTCATTTTGAAACACTTTCAGTTCCTCCTCTTTCTTCCTCAGCTTCTCCTCCTTGTGCATCAGGTAGAAAATGTGACCGAGGTAGAGAAGCGTGGGCGAGGAGACGAAGATGATCTGCAGCACCCAGAAGCGCACGTGCGAGATGGGGAAGGACTTGTCATAACAGACGTTCTCGCAGCCAGGCTGCTGGGTGTTGCACTTGAAGGCCGACTGCTCGTCCCCCCAGGCACTCTCCACCGCGGTGCCCAGGACCAGGATGCGGAAGATGAAGAGCACTGACAGCCAGACCTTTCCCCCTGCCGTAGAGTAAGCCTGGACCTTGTCAAGCAGTCTTCCCAAAGCACTCCAGTCACCCATTCTGCATCACAGTTAGACAAAAAACAGCATATCTATGTTTTGGTTTGGTTTGGTTAAAAAAAAGAACTTGCAGAACTACTGCAAGAGAACCGAGACTTCAGAATTGTAGATGTGACAAAGCAAGATTCTTCTACTTAAGTCAGTGTTTCCCAATCTGGTCCTCAGGGACCTACAGACAGTCCATGTTTTTGCTCCGAGAGCTGGGAGGGAGCAAAAATGTGGACTGTCTGGTAGGGGGCTCGGAGGGAGCAAAAGCATGGACCGACCGTGGGTTCCCGTAGCCCAGATTGGGAAACACTGTTGTAAGCAACAATAAATGATAGTTTATATAATGAAGTTCTGCAGGGGCAGTTTTAGGATTTGACCCTTAGGGGGGCAGGGGGGCTCAGCTCCCTGAAGGCCACCCCTTCTCCCCTGGGTCCCCATTATTAAATGTGTTAAGGGGGGATATGAGATGAATTGGAAAATATGGGAGAAATGGCTAAATGATGTTATAAAACGTAATTCTTCAGGGGGTCTAAGACAAAATTATGGGGGGCTAAATAGCATGTGGAACCACCTATGGACTTCATGCTATTTATTGTTTTTAACTGTCAATTCAGCCAAATAACACACCTATGTCAGGCTGGAAAGACAAGTCTGCTTCTTAGTCTTAGATTACGGTATTCAGCCACTTGCCATAAATGCCAAGACAAAGGTTGATGATACGAAGGGGAACTTTTTGAGCATGTTTGTTGGGCAATGTTGTTCAGGCACTTTCTCATTGATGTTGAATAACAAATTTCCTTTGAAAAACTTTAATCGGCAATGGGAAACTTCTTGCGATCATCCAGATCCAGATGAGTGGCCCTTTGTCTCACCTGGTTGGCAGTTGCCCGGCAACAGTGCTCAAAACGCCACCCTGTATCATCACCATAAGATTATCTGGCTTCTGTTCAGAAAGTGCATCGCATTTGTTTTTGTTTTTTTTCCATTTTCTGGTAATGGAAAAGGAATTGTGGTCATTCTTTCCGTATAATCTCATTTAACTAAGTGGCTTAGAACATTCTCCTGGAGATATTTGTTCTGACATCCACTAATAATGCAGCACATTTAATAATGAGGGTACTATGGTGACTCAGGGGGTACATTTGGGTGAAATGCCCATAGTGTATGTTCTGCGATGGACTGGCATCCTGCCCAGGATGTACCACTGCCTGGACAGATTTCAGATCCTCCTGACCCTGACCAGGGGAAGATGGATGGATTTTTGCTACGTCACATGCAAAACGTTTCTTATATCAGAGTCCCTCTTGTAGCTAGGATATAGACATCTGATTACCTGCCTGAAAAAATAAGCACTTTGAAACAGAAACTCTATGGAACTTAAAAGACCACAGGTGACTGGAAAATATTGAAGATAAGTATGATATAAATGTTTGGGACTGTTTATAAAGAATCAATAACATTCAGCTTATCTAGCATTTAAAAGGAACTGTTTAAAAACTCATAAATGTGTGCCAACTCAACTAAACAGATCAATGACAAATGGAGCTTCACAATTAACTAGTCAAAATTAACAACGCCATGTCATATAACGTTAACCTTATTCTATTTTTTTCTATTATTCATTACCATCGTACGAAAGAGGTATAAATCCATATTATGTATTTATCCACACAGGAAATTACAACGTTGTGATTTGAAATTCTGCTGCATATATATAACATCAGGGGGCTGTACTACGAAGCGGGGTTACTGGCTTATCGGGGTAACTTGTCGGATTTAAGGTTGTCTGGGCAGAATGTAAGTGAACGAAAATTAAGTCCTTTTAAACTGTGGTACCTTAAATCCGACAAGTTACCCCGATAAGCCAGTAACCCCGCTTCGTAGTACAGGCCACAGGACTTTTAACATGTATTTATACAAAATGTAACATTCCCAGTTATAAAACGAACTTTTAATATTATCATTATGTATTTACTGAGATCCTTATAGGTACTGTATAAATGCCTCACAAGTACATTTTGAAGAATGCGAATAAAAAACATCAATTAAGAAGAATCAAAGAAGTATATATGCTTTAGTAGGCTATATAAACATCAAACCTCTATCAAACTTTTCAAATATTCAAAATGCACTGCGATTAATCTGCGACTATTTTCAGTCAGACCGTTTCCACGTTAGAACATCTACAAAACTATTATCTGAACAACAAACTGTATTTAACAAGAAAACACTTGTTAATCTCGGTAACGTACAGCAACACGAAGTTCAAAACCTCATTACAGGATTTTACGTATAATTACTAGAATAAGTACGTGCGCAAAAAAAAATTTAAAACATACAGTAAAAACCGTTTTCCTCTATAATCATCGTATAAGCTAGACTACACGTTTAATTTAAAAATCACTTCCATACACGTGTTCCTAGGAACAGTTTCAATCACATATTGTTCTGTAACGTTAAGTTTTTACTTTACCTGGAAATCCCGCAGAGATGCAAAAACAGCCCTAGGAAATCTTATTTCCGAATCTCAAAAAAATCCGCCGATCTTCTCTTTGAAATCAGTGTCAAGGACTCAGGGCTAACTTCTAAGACTTACGACACCCCTGAAATAGGTTAGAAAAAAAGAGAAAAAACTTCAGTCACCTGATACTTGACGTGGATTAACTGCTGGACCTCTGGTTTTTCAAACTTTTAAGTTACTCAAGCCGGCAAAGAGTCAAACATATCTATAATTTACACTTAAATCGCAGTGCATCAAAACATCAAATGTATATTTTTAAATAAAGTGACCGTTTTCCTTCATTAATCGAAAATACCTGGACTGGAATATTATTTTTGTCTGCACAAATTAATAATGTTATCTATGAAGAGCAAGAGTATGTGAAATTATATCGCCATCTGCTGTATATATTCTGAATTCTTTTATATAATTAATATTTAATCGTTTATTATGTTAGTAAACGAGAAGTTTGCGTCTGCAAAATAAGTTCCGAATCAGGGGTCAACACCATGACCAACTCTGACGGTCGATCATCTTTATCTTTTTTCTTTTAACCGCCGACCTGGTGTTTAAAAACGTAGCCTACATTGTGCGTCTTTTTTCCTCATTCAAAATGTCACTTCAGGCCCTGCAAAATAGGCTTGTCATTTTCAATCTGAAAATGGGGTCCCCCCACAGTAAGATTTGCTGGAGGGGTGTAAAATAATTTGTTATTTTTGGGGCCCCTGTAAAGTGCTGGGCCCTCTGAATCTGCTAGAGTATCCACCCCCCCTCCAACACCCCCGAGTGCGCATAGCGCATTCACAGCTAGGTCACTTACTCAGTACTAAGGTATCGATTCACTGCTTAACTTTAACATTTTGTTTGCTTAGAAGACATATGTATAGTTAGTTATCTGCATCTATAAGGTATTTGAGTTCTGGGGTCCCTGAGCTGCGGAAAGAATTTCTTCACTGAGTACAATACAGCTAAAGTAGCCTAATATCAGGAGCTGCAGGCATGTTGTAACAAACCAGTGTGTCAAGTCTTTGCCATAACAGTTTACAGATATAACAAAGTATATACTGCACTAAAATATGTTTCATATAATACTACAAACATGCGCTATATCTGAATTGTGCCAAAAACAAAACACATGTTGCTGAACTGCAGAAAAAGTTGTATTGTTAACTTGGGGCATTTGCTATTAACATGATAGAATAAGTGATGTTTTAGTAGGCTAAGTATTCAAAAGAGGATGCCTACAAGCAAAGCTCCATCGTTTACTTTGGTATTGCTGGTGTGTGCCAGGAAACAGGAATAACAGATGAATGCAAAGAAGCAGGTGTGAAAATTTCAATTAATCTTAATCTGTCATCACTGTTTCTTCAGCATCCACTTACTGGTACACCAAATAAGGCAAGAGACCCTGGGACAGAATATACTTATTCCTTTTCATCCTCTTACTATATATAGACTTTTCTCCAAATCTATTACAAAGCTTATGGAAATTGTAGATTTCTAAAATTCCAGATTGAATGAAATAATGAAATAATTCTCTCCACAGAATGTAAAAGTTGAGGAAAGTATGCAAATCGTTTTGTTTGGTCTACTGGGGGCTCCTGTTTGAGAAAGAGCGATTTTAACCAAATGTTTTTGATTTTCCCTTCACCATCGTGCTTCAGGGCTGGGATGAGGGTCTTCTTCTTCATTGATTTTTATCAACGGAACATTCTTCAGATGATTTCCTGGATCATCCATATGGTCTTCGGTAAATTTGAGACAGATGACAGCATTAATTTTGCAGCGCAATGATGTCACCCTTTTACCCACCATGCACCTTGCGCGTGAGTGATGGTCAGTGTTTTTCTTATGAGGCATGTGAGTGCTGATGGTGGCCAGTGAAAGAGCACACCAGCTCCAAACCAGTTACCCTCAGATTCACTGTATGACTTCCTGAGGTGCCGTATTCCCTTAAAAATTCCATTTTTCAGTGATCATTCTGGGAAGGTAGTGAGAGTGAGCTCATATATCTATATTATTAATTTTCATTTTATGCATCTTTTGGGACTTTATATGAAGGTAAAATAATGTTTTATTAAAATATTTATTTGAAAGAATTCAAAAACATTCTCCACTGTAAGTTTGTAGAGTAATGTACACAAATATAAATTAATTAAACAAATGTTTCTCAACAGAATTAAGTGGCATTTAAAATTAATTGGGGAGTACTTGTTTTTGCTTGTGTGTTTTGGTGCTATGGAGATAATATGCAGTTTCATTGGGGTGGCCCTTCTGAATTAATGTCTATCACTTGGAAAAGTAATACAGCAGCTCATGTCACATGACATAGTTATGATAAACATGCCACACTGATGACAGACCACTGTAGTCCCTTCTATGAAACCCACAGACCACCAACATTCAAACACTGCAGAGAGTTACAGCCAAAGACTTTGCATATGATGTCGCTGCCTTGAAAAACATCATTAATAATTCCTGAAGGATTGGGCTTAACAACAATAAACAAAATGAAAGCACATTTCAAAGTAAATCTCAGCCAAAACAAAACCTCTTGACCTCTTTGTTAACAGGCTGAGAAAAAAAAATCTGTTATCTTTCCACGCATAAGCAGATTTTCATTTTGTCACATTCATCATTCCAAAGAATTTGGGCTTCTTTGCTGGAAGAGAATTTCGGTAGATTTTAGAGGCATGCTAAGCTGTGCCAATGGTAAATGAGACAGATAATGTAAAGTATAACAGAAAAAATATTCAAGTTTTAGTCACTTTATTTCAAAGCTAATTGCATCATATGCTCTACAATGACACGCCAAAGGTTTTGCACATTGTTGTTTAGTTTTTGGACACCATTGTTGAAATAATATAAGCTCTTTGTAATCTTAATATTGTGAGAGAATTACAAGGGAGTGAGATGCTGGATGGTTACCCTCAGAAATATCTGTCGGCTTACTAAAGTTAACCTTCCACCTCCTCACCCCAACCACTCTTGACTGTAACAGGAACATAATGAGTGTGATTAGCTTACGGCTTCAGAGTGGACCTGCATTCAGAGGGAAGTATCTTATCAGGGAGTGAGAAATATCAACATGTCTCTGATAGTTCAGCTGAATTTAAATTAACCCTGCTCATCTCCCAAGCCCAAGAATCCATGATAGCGAGACCTGACGGAGCACATAACTTATTTTACAAACCTCTTCAGCAGCTATAGAGAAAGGTTTGTGTGAAGGTCCAGGCTTGGGCTGTAAAGTGTGTTTTGAGGATTTCAAGCACCCGTCTTTACTGAAGCTATAATCAAACGTGCGCATGTCACCAGCAGCAAAATGTTTCTGCTGATCTTGATTGATGTCCTGTAGTTACACAAGCTGCAGTGGGTTCCCCAACAATGTCCTTCATGAAGACCATCCTCATCAAAAAGATCTTCAGGACCAGGGACAGCAGTCCATCACCTGTGGGACATTTCGATCTACAAATGGGAGTCATGGACACACAAATATCTAGCTGATTTATTTTTCTTCCACTATTCAAAATATTACATTCCACAATATGCATACATGCTTAGAAATTATGTAAATGTTCACCCACCTGTCTTAACCAGTACATGATCACAGTGGATCAAAATGCATTTTTAAAATTGTTTTATTACCCCATTCTCATATTTTCATGGTTATATGTATATAAAGATATCAAGTCACGTGACTTCTCATTTGAATTATAAGAATTAAAGTACAGCTCATTATACAAAAAAGCTTTTTTTTTTTTTACATTTTTTATGCATGTGCTGTTTACAGTTTTTAGCAGCAGAACTTAGGGAAGAAGAGAAGCTATGAAAATCCCTTATTTTGTTCTTTTTAGAATTACGCGTTACGTGAGTATCTTCCGATAAGGTCATTTCTATCTTTTGAAATACCTAACGTTGTATTTGCGAGAAGCAGTACGACCAAATAAGCTGGGGGCGTGTTTCGTAGACCACAATGCCAAGCGGCCACGTGCTGGAAGGCGTTGACCAATAACAGAACTCTACGTCACGTAGAGGGTCAATTCTCATAGAAACAATATTATAGATCAGCAACCGCAATGGTCGACGCTAAGTCGCTAACGGCACCGGATGTTTTGGATACTTGCTCTGAAAACGTACAATTCGGTATATGATGAAGGTTTCCTTATAGTTTTTTTCTTTCTTTGTATCGATATGCGAATTTGATTAACTGACGAACAACGTAACGGTAACTTGCTATTACATGTAAATATAGATAATTTATTTAATAACTACTTTGTATTAAGTTTGCTGGTTGAGAGTACACACCTTGAAGCACCTTTTTCCGCGATCATTATCACTTTCACATGTGCATTTCCGGGTATCCGGTTGAACAAGGGAACAATAAATGGGAAAATATAAGCGCTACTATTAAGCAATACAAGTCTTTGGAGAGCCTGGGTGCAGTGACTGCCATTTTTGTTTCTTCAGAATCACAGCGGCGTTTTCTAGCATGTTTCTAATTTCTGTGGGCCGACAAGATCTACTGCCCTCGTTTTCGCACTCATTGCCTGTTCAACTTTGGTAGCCGGTAGGAGGGCGAGATTCAAGGTAAAGAAGCTAAAGACTACACTGTGATTGCTAAAGGTTAATTATTCATTCAGTGTCCAACTCAACATAGAAAATAATCAAATCAGTGTATGCTAAGTTAGCCACGCTCTGAGTTGTTGTTTGTATCAGTGTTTTACTACGGCCAGTGTTAACTTGCAATTGTTATGCCTCCTGACATAATAAATGTTGAAAAGTCAGTATATCTGACTAGCAATTTAAAAGACAAACATTTAGACATGAAATACTCATTATAACCTTGCTTCAATCTTTATAATACTACAAGCATTTTATATATATATCAGCATTTCAGACACCCCAGGTTTAGGCATATTGATCTCAGGGAGGCGGAAGTTTTAGTCTGCCGGCAGGGTTGGGGAGGTGGGGTGCCGATATTGTAACAGGTGCTGTGCTCTAAACTGCCCCCTGCCACGGATTGCCTCCCCTGACCTAACCGCTGCAGCGAATATTGAAAATTTGCTGACTTCTAATTACCTTTGGTGCTTGGTTCGATGTCATATAATTTCCATGTGTGCGGGTGCCGAGTATGAAGACAATCGCTGCATTATAAGTATTACAAGAAGACAGAATAGGAAAAATAGTGCACAATGTATCAAACATGATAGATAGATAGATAGATAGATAGATAGATAGATAGATAGATAGATAGATAGATAGATAACTTTATTAATCCCCAGACGGAAAGGTACATTACTCAAGTAAATTAATCGCTTCTTATGACTGCATGAAGGCGATTGTATTTGCACAAACAATCGTTTGAATGAAAAAGTAGTAACTGTCACATTTGCAAGGTTTTATATGAGGTTATTAGCATATTTTTAGTCTGCTTAAGGCAAGAAATAAATGAAGTTACAGCGAGCGGTCGCTTCCGCTGCGCAGGAGAAGCGAAGCGATATTGCCTCTAAAAAGAGCGATGACGTCAGGGGAGGCAATCCGTGGCAGGGGGGCGTTTAGAGCACAACACCCGCAAATTGCACATCATTCGCGGGGGTCAGTGGCTTGCTGTCAATTTGCGGGAGATTCCCGGAACTTCAGAGAGAGGTGGGATGTCCGTATTTTAAAATACCCAAACAAGCTGATGTCAAGATATTGAAGGGCTTTACTGTGGGCCTATTAGTTCGGCACCCTTACGCATCTTTGTTGGCAGTCATGGGAGACTTCTTGGAAATTTATAGACATAACGAACTAGAAATTAAAGAGAGGACCCGCAACATGGATTTCAGGAGTCAAAAATGTATACCCAGTCTAAATGCACTGACTTTCTATGTGAGCATTCCTTGCTGGCAGTTATATTGTCACTTGTTTTTGGAGATGAACAAAACGAGTTTGCAAAGCACACAAGGAGAGGTGCAGGGATTAATGTATTGTGCCCCTCCCTTGAACTGTCGCAGGAAATGGCGTCTGGCCCTCCGTCGAACTTCTCCTGGGTCGAGCCAGGTAAGCTGGCCGGTCTGGCAATGCCCCGCATGCCCGGCCATTATCAGTACCTGCTGGACAACGGCATCCAGCACCTGATCAGCCTCTCGGAGAGGAAACCTCCCTATCATGACACCTGCCCAAAGTTAACGCTACATCACATCAAAATAGACGACTTTTGCCCGCCTAGGGATGACCAGATCGATAGGTTCCTGTCCATCGTTGAGGATGCTAACGCCAAGGGACAGGTAAGCATGATTTCATACAGTTATTGCGCAAATAAATTGTTTATGCCTTATATCAGAGGTAGGCAATCTTATCCAGAAAGGGCCGCTGTGTATGTGGGTTTTTTTCTGCTACTCCCTAATTAGATTACTAATTAGAGGATTAATTGGCTGAAGAGTCCTCACACCTGGGTTTGAACGGCTGACCTAAAGGTTATCCTGTAACAATGCATTATGTAATAATGCCGCATTTTGTAATGACTCGATAAAATCTAACAAATTTCAGTCGCACAATGAAATGTTATTGCATAATGCGTTGTCCCACATCATGTAACAGCACATTATGTAATAATTCTACAAATTTTTATAAATATATAGACTACATTATAATTTTATATTGCAGTGTCACCATGTTATTATGATCATTATTGTTATCATCATTAAATTAGTTACATTTTGTCGAGTTATTACATAGTGTGGTGTTATATATCCCAAAAACATGCACGCAGGGTCCTTGAGCGTAAGATTGCCCACCCCTTCCCTATATGCGTCTTCCATTGTGTTAAAAGAACGTTGAACCTGAAGGTGAAAGCAGGACCGAATCCTCCACTCAGGCCCCTCCCTGCACTGCAGACTGGCGGTCTAAGTCTGGCTTTGTCAGTCTCCGGACCACAGACACCCACACTGAGACTAGGCGAATTAGTGGTCATCCCATGCAGCAAGATAATCCCTGCATCAGCAAAACAAACGTCAGGCTTAAGCCAGACCCAGTCATGTATTTCTGCGTGAGAGTTACCGGGAAGGCCTTGTCATTATTGGTAGCGTGCTGCAAAATTTGGGTCGCATTCTGCACTGCACATTCAAGTTTCATCTTAACGTTATACCTTAAGGTAACACCTGAACGTTTGAGGATTTTATTTGCGCCGATATTTTTCAAGAATGGAAAAAAATCAAGCATTTAGCACAATAGTTGTGGTTGCATGATTTGTCCCAGCTGGTCCTAATTGGTTAAGACCTCTTCTCAGCTAAACATCTGCATAACTTCTGGGCTCTGTGGGTCTGAAGAACACTGCTTTATTTAAAAGTAAAGCATGACTGTTATGCACAATTAGCAATGCCCAGGGGGTGCGGGCAGGCAGTTGACCTTTGTCCTCCAACAGTTAATTTTTCCCATAATCCTAAGGCGTTTTTGTTGCTCAGCTGACTTTTTGCTGCATGCCCCGTGTGCTGTACACCTCTATATATTTTGTGTACATGCATAGAGAAACGGCACTGGGAAGGAGCTTTTTCAGCGCTTCAGCAGGTTTACAGGTCATGCTAACAAAGTCAGCATCCTTGCCCCAGGGTGTGGCCGTCCACTGTCTTCATGGCTACGGGAGAACAGGGACCATGCTGGCCTGCTACCTGGTGAAGAAGAAGAAGATCAGCGGCGTGGAGGCCATCAGCGAGATCCGGCGGCTGCGTCGCGGGTCCATCGAGACCCACGAGCAAGAGAAAGCAGTGGTGCAGTTTCACAGCCGCACCAAATAGAGGGCGAGACGGACATGTGGGAGTGAGTATGGGGAACCTCGAAGGCTGTACACTGTGCGTCTCCAGCTTCTCATGTCCGGCTCATGTGATCCCATGTTCTCCAGTTATATATAGCAACGTATCCATGGAGACTGTTGTACTGGAATTCATCACAGAAGATATATTTTTCCTTTGCTCCCGAAGTCCTCCTTCACAGGCTTGACTGTGATTTTAACCTTTAATTATGGGTAGTGGTTTTTCTGTCAGTTCATTTATAACTAGTTCTTCGTAGATGTTTTTAAATGTTTAACTGGGACAGATCACCTGTTAGGTACTGCAGGTTTCTTTCAAAGACAATTTGTAATATGATTATGAATTGTTTATATTGATTGTGAATGCCCATTATCAGAAGGATACGCAAAAAAGTGTCTTCGATTGGTGTGCCATATACTAGGTTTTACGGTATGCTCAGGTTCCCATGCCTGGTTTTCCTTTGTGATATGAACCTCTTTTTCAGGATTACCAGACCGACATTGTAGAAATATGACAACATGTTTGTTCATAAACGTCCATAAATGGTACCAAGTGCTTTGTCCTGAAAATAATTTCTCACCATCCCTAAACCTGATGAAGGAGTCACATTAATCTTGTTTATTGTCCTTGTAAGTGGAGAGATCAGGGAACGCTATGAAAAGGGCCCTGTAACAAATGACAGGAAGTTCCTTGCTGGGATGCTGCATGGTTAGTCCTGACATTGGGGAGGCATTGGGGTTGTCTGGCAGGGCGTTTCTGTGGCAACGGTACAGCGGTTAAAGCGGTGCTTCAGCGCCGCATGTGATCTGCAGTGCCCTGAAGCAGTCTGAACCAGCTATGTGCAGTAAATGGCCCTTTTGTAATAACCTGCATAGTCTTTGCTTGCTAGTAAGATATCACTTCAAGCAACAACCAAAATGTTGACATACAAAGCTACTGTGTATTGCTTAATGGAAGGAGATTATCTCTTTCAGGGGCTGTGAGTCACCGAGGAGCATTTTCATCCAGCCAGATTTGCTAAGTAAACAATTTAAACAAATGACAAGTTAGATGGGTTTGGCACTGTGTTCTCACAAGATTTATGTGGGTAAATATTTTGATGAAATTTCATATACATTTCTTAATATTGAATATTCTTATTCAGAGCGGCTTCAGTTGAATTTTACAGCAAAATACAATTAGTAAAAAACACAATAATAATACAGAAAAACAGTATACTTGCTTGGTCATAGCAATATGAATTACACTTTATCTGGTGAATAAGTGGTCTTGTGTATTGGGGAAAACTGAGATATTGTTATAGCAGGGAACACACCACATGCCTTTTAACAGAATGTGGATTCAAAATGATGAAAAATTAAAATTCATTTTAAGTGCAGCTTTTACAGTAATAGTTGTATAATTTTATTGTTCGTGATCCTGATTTTCTGTAGTGTCTATATAATCTATGTAATGTAAAAATGAAAAAATACAGAAAAATATAAAAATGTTAAAATCAAAAGTCGTTAATTATATACACAACACAGTCTAGATTAAAGAAAAACAGCCAGCCCACTTCAGTAAGCTGCAGTCTACTATACTACTAAAGTCAGATTAAATTTGGGTCTCAAAATTATCAAGGTCCCCTGCACTGGTTTGCTAGCCAATATTTAAAATGTATATGTATTTAATGTATTTTAGTTAAACTATAACGCACAATTTTTAAAATCTAAACATAATGTACATATCCAGGCAACTGCTAAACTAACAGAATTACAGCTATCTTGCTTTTATTAATGGATTTAAATAATCTGCAAAAGTTGAAATGTTTTGTTCTTCTCTTGTAACTAAATTACTTGCCTGGATCTTAGTTTTGTGTAAAAGTTTAAGTGAAGCTTCACTGCAGTATTTTCACGGGGAAACTCAGATTAATGGGATATGTTTTCACAAGCACTAGATTTTGTGATCTTCAGACCCTTGTTCAAAATAAATCATGTGAAATGGTACATTATGATATACAAGGCCTGCCTTTATAACTGCTTGAGGCCTGCCTTTATAAATGCCTGCTCTGATATGTAACTGAAGTGGAATGTTTACGTGAAAATAGGACAATAGCATTTTACTTGAATCACATGATCCACCGTTTTGCCTATCTTTTCATATCATTCACTGTCATTTTTAGGGCATTCATTAATAACCTGAAGATACAGTAGGTCCAATCATATTTCTACTGTACACATTGTGTTTAGCAAGTTTTATCAAGCAAGAAGGTTGCATATATGGTAAAAAACCTTGATCCTGACATAAACTCACACTGCTTTGTGATTGGCTCTGCCCCACCTGGCCCCACCCACTTTCCCATTCCTTGCTGGAGTAGGCCTCGCCACGTTCTGTTTGTTCAGCTTTTCGGGAGCTCATGCAGCGACACGGCTGGCCTCTATCCATTTGCATGTACCATTTCAACTCTGGCAAAAGTAACACAAACACACATGAAACCACCTAAAACTCTCAAACCTGCTTGTCTGTTGTTTATCCGGATGTAATTCTCTCTTCAACAACTTAACTTCCACTTGCTATAATCTTCCCTGGAGGAAAATTCTTAATTTCACATACAACGCTTTGCACTCACATTAGTTCATTTGACTGTTGGAAACTAACGCTGACCTCATACATGCAATTTCTGGTTCCAAGAACATCACTTAAGCTTTAGGGTTCACGTTCATTCAGCTTTCTGTGCGCTTCAGTGAATGAGTGTCTTCCTTCAAAGGTATGGAAGAGTAATTTCTCAGGTATGGCATACAGATCACTTCCCGATATACTGAAAGTCTTTTTTTAATGTGACACTGGAAACAAGGAATTGGGCAAATTGAATATTATTTTTAAAAAACAGAATTATTTACCTTTTCAGAGCTTCTATGTCCTCAGTACTCTCAGGCAGATCAATACCTTTTGTCTCAGGCAAGAGAAAAACCAGAGCCCCATAGATCAAAGACATGAGCCCTGAGGAGAAAACAGCAGTATGCTTTAAAGTATTTCTTTATGTTTAGCTTAGCAGAAGTGTAGCTTGCACCACACCTTACCGTATAGAACCATTGGAAGCTCTGTCCACACGCTAGCTAACCTGAAGAGCAGGAACGGGGCTGCAATTCCACCGATGTCACTCAGAGACGACACCACAGAAACGCCAAGGTTCCTATGGCGAATCATCATAGAACACTGTACACATCCGCATCATTTCTGACAGAGCTGTAATATTCATTGCTTTTCAATTGTATGCAAATACAGAAGAAATTTTTATAATCTCTCGCCATTATTTTTTCCCCCAATATCTTTTTCTAAAAGTGGTAGATCTTTACCGTAATGTTGTGGGATAAAGTTCAGTACTGATTAGGTACACAATTTCAAAGCCAAGTGTTATTCCAAGTCTTCCAATGATGGCTATAGCGGTCTTCAGCCATGAGATATCTATATGGAACAACAACAGACATGTCCATTTTATATATTTCACTACTCTCCATCATTAAAGCCTTGCTTTTTGCACTGGAGTACAGTCGTGGTGCAACTGAAACAGCCATTCCCCAAACTGTCCCCACAAAGCACATAGTTGTCCAAAATGTCTTAATATGCATACATGGGAAGCACTTTTATACATTCTGGTATATATGCTTTTATACATGCTTTTATACCTTCTGGTATACATGCTTTTATACATGCTTTTATACCTTCTGGTATAAAAGCAGTGGCCAAACAGGACAGCCCTCCAATGATGTTAGATACTGCAAAAGGGATCCTGCGGCCGAGCCAATCCACGGTCAGGTAGAAGAGCAGAGCAGAGGGCAGCTCCACCACGCCGGTTATGAAGAACTCCAGGTGCAGGTTGCCCCAAACGATGCCGGTACGCATTATCAGGCCCTGGTAGACCACTGAGCTGGTAAACCTGGAGAAGTGTCCAAAGCAGAGGTTAGGTATGTCCTGCATTCAACCTACAGGCTGTGAAATAGCAGCAGACGTCTGAAGGCTCAGTCCGCAGTGCCTCTCTGCTTTAAAGAAAACAGAGCTTTGGCTTTCATGGGGCGACATGATCCATTAGTTACTAAGGAGTATGGATGGATACTGTGGTATTGTGCACTGAAGAAAACATTAAGAAGTTACAGAATTGGCTTAGGGAGAAATTTATGGCTGCCTAAAGTAGAGGTTGTTTCTTTGTGGACAGTGTGTGAAAGACACAAGCTATAGTCGGCAATAGGCTGTTATTAAACATACAGTCATTCTGTTTTAACAGAATGTCATACTTGAGCAGTTGCTTGGGTATTACATTATCCAGCTGACTCATGTGATCGTCAGTGGTGGAGATCACTAAGTGGTGTAAGATCTCTGTAACAATGGTTCTCTATATAATCCAAGATCCTTAGATCATGTGAACGTAGTGCTTTACAATATATTTATTTAATAAATCGTTGCCTATTCATTAGTGAAAAGTTTCCAGGTTCTTACCATGCATACATCAAGATTAAAGTGATCTTCTTCATCTGAGGAGTCTTAAAAACATCCCAGGGAACTGGGTTGCTTGATAAATTATCCTCAAGTCCAGGCTGTAGTAGCTGCATCTGAAATACACGTGTGAAATGTGTGTTTTAATAAACAGAAAAGGAAAGTGTAGGAGGGGATGAGGGAGATGGAAGGAATGATGAGCTTTTAGGCTTCTAGTTTATACTTTATTGTATTGCCTTAATGTGATGAATTGTACAGAATGTGTCTATAACCTTTCTGGATGTTTTGGTAAATTTTTACACCAAATGATTGCAAACACACTCACCGTAATGTAATCTTGTGGGAGGGATTTTCCGTTCTTTTTGGCCATATGCTTGACTATCTCCATGGCCTCTGTGGTCCTTTTCATAGAGAGGAGCCATCGTGGGGACTCTGGAAGGAGCCTTCAGAGGAAATAAGTCCCTACACAAAGTATTCTGGTCATATGTGACTTAGAGAAGCCTATGACAGGCATCCTGTCCAGGGTGTCCCCTCCCTTGTGACCTATGCTACTTGTCATAGGTCCCTGACCTCTACCATGACACCATCTTGGATATTTACTCGGAAGATGGACATATGGAGAAACTTTTTTGTAAAAGAAAAAGAAAAATTCACTGATGCTTTATGAAATTTTTTATGAAGAAGCAGCCTAAACCATTATCTGAAGCACCTGTGTTTCTTATGTACTGTATGAATACAGTCACACTCTATTCTACTATTCCGGATTTTTTGCTGCTAATCTAATCCAAACTCTATCCTGTATGAAGACACTAGACTGCAAATGAACTAATTTGCAGCTGAATGAATTAGACTTGATGTCTCAGCGGTACAATAAAGTGCCAATGAAATCCTTTTTTATTATGAAGTGGAACAAATCCAATCTTGGACAATTCAGAGTCGCGAATGAGCAGCATTACATGTCAGGGCAGAACTTCTTATTTTTCGGGTGTCTATATATGGGGGGGGGGGGCTGTTACAGGTGCTGCAACCTCACCTGGTTATTTCACATGGCTCATCAGCACTGAAGGGGAAGCAAAGGTCTGTAACCTGAAGCTGGTGGCTTTAGGCCACACCCCCTTATGGCTAAGCATCTTAAGAGTGATCTTATTTTAAAGACCCACCTACCAGTAATATACCAAGAAGAGGAAGCATGGAGCTGTTATGGAGAACTGCAGCGTCTTCCATGACGGGATGAGGTAGGCGATTCCCGGCAGAATGATGACCCCGGCGGTGAAGAATAATTGGGCCACGGTCCCCACCAGTCGCCGCTGATCGGAGCCGACGATCTCAGTTACTGGGTGATGAAAAGGGAACGGCCCGTGTTAATTGCATCCCTGCCCCGGCAACCTAATTAGGTGCAATGAGCTCATCCGGTGTTACCCGGCCGAATCCCATTAAAGGAGCAGCGGCGGCCCTCCAGCCAGAAGCTGTGAGATGCGGGACTCTTACCCAGGACATAAGCGGACATCCAAGCCCCTTTTCCAAAAACTCCCTGGATGATGCGGATCACCAGAAGGACCATATAATTAGGGGAAAATATCATCCCTATACCAGAGATCCCAAATCCAAAAATGGAAATGAGGAAGCAGAGCTTTCGGCCGTATCTAAAAAGAAAAGTCAGTGATTCTTAGCGGGACTGGTTCAAGTTAGTGATAAGCTAACAGCATTAGCTTTAGTTGTACAAAATGATTAGGTCAAAGGTATAATGTATATATTTGGAGAGTTTAAAGCCCATAAGATCTTATCGGTTATAAGGTTATACTGTGTATGTCAGTTCTAACATCAAGCATTAAACTCTACACTGTATATGAAAGTTTTGATGTCAACACTTTCCCAATTGCTAAGTGTCACTCAGGCAAATACAGGCGGGGCAAACAAAAACCGAATCTGAAGTCTGAATAAGATTTACCGCGTTTTAAAATGAAATAACAAAACTAGTGTAATGTGCACGCTTTCTGCCATATGACCGGTCCGCGCTCTTGTAACTCCTAACTGTTTTTTGGTTTGTGTGATGTCCTGGGATTTTTTCAACCACATATAAAAGCATCATACGCTTGTTCTAACCGAGTTCCTACCTGTCTGCTCCATATCCGATCACCAGGGCCCCCAGGAGTAAGCCGACATTTAAAAATGCCTGGTTCAGGTCCGCCTGCCACGCATTCTCACATACCAACTGAAACTGCACAAAATTTTGTGATTCAATAAAAAGAAATATCTATCTATACCTCCATTTTCCATAGCTACTCATTCAGTACAGGGCTGCAATACTAATCAGAATAATTTACCAAAATATCAAAAATATCAATCAATATGCAATTTGCCAATTCAATGATATGCTTTGTTTTTAATTATTATTATTATTTTACATTTTTATATGGTTTTTGAGTCATAAAAGTAAACTTTTTTGTTTTTTTGTGAGTCCACTGAGGTAACATGGCTGGTGATGTAACAAACATCCACTTAACAACTTCAGATTTTAAAAGTCTACCTCAGAGACAATGGTGGAGAGAGACGGGTCAAATGCCCAGCCATTGGTGCAGGGAGCCAGCCGAGTGTTGTTGAGGGAGCTCGGGTCATCCTGCCGGTTGCCGCAGTCGACCCGAGTGATGTTCCAGTCCACGTCAAACCTCTGACAGCTACTGAAAGTGCCCAGCGTCGATCGGGGTACCGTCAGCTGCCTGAACTCCTCCTCTGTCCAGCCGCACATCTCCTGGATCGTCTCCCCTCCTGGTTCCCGGCACCAGTGTCCGGGAGTGCTGCCCAAAAACACGACACCCACATAAAGGAAGGCGAAGAAGATTCCGGTGATGCATGACAACATGCAGAGCCTTTTCTGGTAAGGCCCAAACTCTCCTACGGCGACCAGCAGCTCGTCAAAGGGCAGCATTGTGCCTGACTGTGCGGGATGAAAGTAACGGGGCTCTCCTCTTATAGGAAAAGAAGAAAGAAAAAAACTTTACGGACTCCCAAGCACACATGCGCAGCCATGCTAAGGTGAGTAGCCCAACACAGCATTGCAGCACGTTTCACACAGTGAAAGCCCTTTACCCACAAAAAACTGTGAGGAGAAATGGCATGCATCAAAGCAGTGCCCAGCTCCAGACCTGCCTTTTTGGCTCACAGAAGATATTTACACTGGAACAGAACAAAGAGGTGCTCTTGCATATTTAAATCCTCTACAAAGCAAGGCAGTGAGAGAGTGCGGGCTTTGTTTTTTTTTTTTTTTAAATACAGCCACACAATATACAGACAAAAAATACACATCACAAACAAAAATTCTGCTAAAATTACTCATAAATTAATGTGTTTAAAACTATATTTCCCATAACTTTTTTTTGCAAACATATGTCCTTTGTGGAATTTCCTAAAGTATCAAAGATTTACACAGTTTCAAGCAGGAAAGGAAACAAAAAAATATATATAGTATATAAAAAAAATATATTATATTGTGATTCCTATATTAAACAGGCAAAAATATGCTACTGTCATCCACGTACAAGTCAAATAATTACAAATACCCACACAGTACAAAATCCTCAATCGTGACAGACGACAGAAGCCTAATCAGCTGGAGAGCCAGGATAACTTACAATGGAGCATTGTGCTGTTCGAAATGAACTTCTAATAAGAGAAACTTCTCTTTCTCAGTTTATTCGTGCTCTGGCGGGAGTTTGGAGAGCGCACTTCAGCCGAGGGGCACAAAGGACACCCAGATGCAAATGCAAGATACAGGAATCGGACAAAGACGGCGGCTCTTTCTCTTCCCGTTACCCTTTAACATGTCTTACAGGCCAATTACGGTGTGAAAGCATCAATTCTATGTACACTGTTTCGGGCAGATAGTTGACAAATTCTTGCAAGCAAATTAGACACGGAGGCCAAAGACTGTTTAGCTGCTCATAAACAAGATTGTCTCCTCTGAGCCTGGTCCCGCCAATTAAATATGATTACATCTGCATGTTTGCCTTTTCTTAAGAGTAATTCAAACGGCAGGTCCTTCCTTTTATAGTATGTAAAGTCATTGCACTGTATGAAAGTTTATTATCAAGTTTGGTAAGTTTCGCAATAGTGCTTAAAAAATTGTGTTACGTCCAAGCCAATGTCTTCTTTTTTCAAAGATGTTATCACATAGCAACGTTATGTCTGTCCATCCATTTTCCAGCCACTTTTTTTGGTCAAGGTCATAGGGCAGGGAGAGTATCCCTGGCAGCAGAGAGCAGAAGGTATTGGAACATCCTGAACAGGACACCAGTCCATTGCAGGGCACGCACAAGCACTGTGATCAATTTAGAGATGTCAGTTAAAGTGTCTTTGAACCATGGCAGTGATAAAGTAATATAAATGGTGTAAGACAATCAGCTGTTTTGTGTTATACAAATATGGTTACATGTTTTTTTTTTTTCTATTATTACTTAAGAATTTTAAAAGTTCATTTTACACCACTAGATGTCATTCTTACACATCTAGCTGTGGATTATATAAAGATCCATTAATCCGTCCATCTTCTACCCTCTTATCCTTGTCAGGGTCTCTGGGGAGCCTGTAGCATATGCTAGGTAGCATGTGGCCCAAGGAGGACACACACCCTGGACCGGATAGGCTTATAAATAAATTTTGTAACAATATACAATATAAACAAAGCATAATGAATAAATATTTCAAACGCTACAGTAATGTAACTAACATACTATGTCCATGAATGTCTCAAAATATACTTAGAATGTAACAATGAAATATGACACAAATAAATGATCTGGAACAGACCGTCGACTGGTGAGAGGCTGACTATATGCAACGTTACCTCGTCAAACTTTTCTCATCTTCCATCATCTTTCTCCAATCCTTGTTCCATTGCTTCAACAACTTAATTTTCAATAATTTAGACTCATAAATTCTATTTAAATCATGACTTGCAGAAGCCAAAAGTCTTGTATCTGGCAGGCTTTGTCTACCTTAGGTTTTAAATACACACAACCACACATACACACACACCTGCACATTCACTTAATTGGAAAGGCATTAACTTTGATTGATTGTTGTCAATATATCAAGTGTGAAACATACAGAAAGCAAATTTATTGTGCATATGTGATAATATTTTATCAAATATTTCTATATAACTTTGCATTACATTATATTAAGATCTCCTTTACAACAGTTTCAAAGGCTTTATTAAATATTTAGAGGTTTAAGATCTATACTGTTAGTTTTATCAGTGGCAAGCCAGTAGTAGCTTTCCATATATAAAATGTGTCACCCGAAGTTTTGCCAATGTGAGGAAAATGAAAACCAGCAACCATATCAAGCCTTTATTGGATGTTTATTTTGAGGGGGAAAAGCAAAAATGGAGACACACATAGCCAGAAATTAATAATGATGATAAAAAAAAGATTTTTGGAAAATAACAGTAGCTTATCTCAAGAAATCAAAGACAGGCAGGCTGTTGAAGGTCAGAGCTGACTTATTTTTGTAGATAATTTTTGCAAACAAGAAAACATAGTCTTGCAATGAATATTAGATTCACCGCAATAGCAATGTGGACCAACCACCAATGTTTGTTATCCATCCCTCATATCCTAATGGACTGCCTCCAGTTTATTGTTTGTTTCTTCAGACTTGGATTGAAGAGGGGCTTCCTGGGCGTTATTGGTCTGGTCTTGACCTGCTGGGTGTTCCTTTTGGGAATCCTGCTGCACCTCAGTGCATTGGCTTGAATTTGCTTCCTGGTTAGATTCCTCCGAGGTTGTGAATGATGTTGCTATCTCCTGCAATATGGCTTGTTCCACCTTCAGGCTGGCTAGCTTATGAGCGAGGAGAGTTTCACCACCTGTCGTGGATACCTCCAAGTGTGCGTGCTCAGAAGCACCCTCCTCTGGTAGCACCTCGTCTTTCGCCTCCACCTTCACCTCATCACCTGGGAGCTGCATCCCCTGGACCTTCTGGTGCAGGTCCTTCCTCTCCTCTTGAAGTGCCCGACACAACTTCTCCAGCCTTTGGATCTTCTCAGTGCAGAGCTCCAACTCTTTGTCTCTCAGTGTTTTCTAGAATGCAATAAAGACCGGTTGCTCAATTCTAAGATACACATGAAAAGTAAAATAAATTAATCCAAAGAACTTCTTTTCATTTTTTCCCCACAATGACGTTGATTTGAAAAGCATAAAAACTGAAATAAATGAGCATTACCTCTTCAACCATATTTACAAGAGCCTTATTGCAGCCTTCAAACCGTGTTCTCCAGGTGTTAGACTCCTTCTCTAGCTTCTTAATTTTCTTTGACATCTACAAAATATTATATATTTAATGTGTCTTTATTACTGTATATATTATAATACAGATGGCCATGAATTGTTCAATGACATTTTATGTACATTATTTTACGGTGGACTAACCTTCTCCATATCTTGTTTGAAAGTGGAATAAATATCTTTGCTCTTGGACACTGTGCCCTGGAACTCATCAAACTTCTCAGAGTACATGGAGAGCTAAGAAAGATTCAATGTTACTTGTAAAACACAAAGGAAAATACTCTAAATGTATTGCTTTGGAAAATCAAACGGTGGAAACTTATTTGATGACAGACAGTGTGATGGATGTTTACCTGGGCCTTCATCGCACTCTCCTGCTCCTTCAGAATTTTCACCTGCATTGCTAACTCAGCAGTCTGCGTGAGGAGCTGGGGCCAAATTAAAACCAGGGGATATTCATAAAATTGTATTTAAAATAGAAAAAAAACACACGTTGTCTCAGTCAAGTACATGAAGGAGTTAAAGTTGTACAACTAATGGTAGGTAACCACGGATGTAGCCGTATTTCACAATTTGTTTCATAAAATACACTCTGTCTATATTGTCATTTGCACACTAAACAAATCTTGTACAGTTAATATTTCTGTGCCACTAGTACGACTCACACATTCTTTTTCATTCTTGTGTTTCTCCCCCTCTTCCTTAAGCAGAAGTTTTGCCTGTTCAAGTTTGGTCTCGGCTAATTTCTGCTGCAGGTCGCGGTGTTTGAAGACTTTTTCCAAGTTCTGAAAGAGAAAAGTAAGGCAAATGGAGATTTTACTCAATGTGCAGAGTGTCCATTTTTTGCTCGGTCTCAGTTCCGCCTTCTTCAGTCCGATCAGCAGGTGATGCAAAATGCACCAACGCTTTCACAGAACAAAATATGGTTACCTTCAGAGAACTTCAGTTCTCCACAAATTAGTTGTAACTTTCTTTAAACGCTAAGGGTCTAAGGCTGACTTACCGCCTCTCGCTGGTCATACTGTGCAATAAGCCCTTTCAGCTTCTCTGCCAAGTCGCTGTTTTCCTTACACAGCTTGGTGTTTCGGTCACTGTGCTCCTCAATTTGGGTCTGTATGTCCGTCAGCGTGTTCTGGAAGTGCGTGGTGATCTCCTTGCGCTTCAGATCATCCTCACGACACCTCTGCAGGGTCTCCTCCTACAGCCACGATGCACGTGAGAATACACCAGCCAGTGAGATTCACAAAGAAACCAAGTAAAAATCAGTGACCACCAGAAACAATCAATGCATTAATATAGCGGTCAGTGTTCCTGTCTGTTTTGTGGGGTTGTGATTCCATGATGAGGAAAGTTGTCTACTGTTTTCTTTTTGGATATTGTGGCTCAGTGGATTAGGCCTCTATGTGTGTGACTGGAAGGTTGTTAGTTCAAATCCTTTCCTTGGCAGAACGGTTACATGTTGACCATTGAGCTAGGCCCTAAGCTCCCTGAAATGCTCCAGAGTACTGGACAAATGTCTGACTAGAGCCAGGTGTGCCAAAAGGGGTGTGGGAGTTGGCACAATTCCAAGACAGGGGCACTGAAATATCATTCATTTTTTATGCTTTCAGGTTCTGCAGCCACTTGCTCTATTCAGGGTCACGGCGGGTCTGGAGTCTATCCCAGAAGCTACAGGCACAAAGCAGGGAACAACTCACATGCACTTTGGTATCTCCAGTTCACCTAAGCATGTTTTTGGACTGTGGGGGGAAAACGGAGCACCCAGAGGAAACCCAATGATGACGTGTGAAAAACATGCAAACTCCACACACATAGAGCCCAGGCAGTGATTCGAACCCTGGTTCCAGACGTGTAAGGCAGCAGTGCTAAACGCTCCACCCCACCCCAAAGAAATTTGAAACATAATTGAATCGGTCTGGGTTAGGGGCCCAAAATCTCTCGCAGCACCCCCTCAGAAGCAAGCATGATGGGATGTGCAAAAAAAAAAACTCCAATGTACTTGTGCAAACAAAGCATCATTTCATGTTAACCCAACCTTGAGCGTCTTGTTGTGTCTCTGCAGCTCCCTGCACAACCCCTCCAGTTTGCTTCGGGCTAATACTGCCCGGCTGTGCTCGCTCTGCAGCAGATCCTTCTCCTTCATGACATGCACCAGTTTCTTCTGCAGGACTTTCAGCTGCTTCTGGTCTGTGCGGTGTTCCTCCAGCTGTGAAGGACGTGGGCATGAGGGATTCCCGTAACCTTCTATAGGACATATCTAAACAGCAAGGACTTTTACTTCAAACATATATGCATCAGTTTTATTAATTCTTCATAGAATTTTCTTATACATTAACCCATTCGTATTATTATAGTAAAACCTAAAACTAAAAACTAAAATCATACATAAAATTCTTTCCTTTTCTTCATTTCACGCTTCAAACTGGTCACATCATCCAATGCAGCCATGGATTTATTTCTGCTTAATTGAGGCAAATGAACAAGAACTGCCATTATGCAATTTGTGTTAGTCAGACAGACATAAAAAGTCAAAAGGTCGTCTTCTTTTAAAGTGTTCTTTGTCAAGCTTATTTTTATTACGGCTATATTTATTTGCTATCGATCGAGGCTGGCTTGGAGGACCACTCACCAGTTCAGCATGCTTCTTGATAATTGCCTCGAGTTTTGCGTCTGTAGTGCTGAGCTTGTTCAAATTTTGCATCAGAATCATTCCCTCCTTCCCTGCGTTAACAGAGAAGGTCACACGGCCCTTTTCATCTAAGCCCATGAATATCCTTGATGTGGATTTGAATATACTCAAGTAGAATAGCACTTAAATCCATCTAACCAGGTGATCGTGCATTTTAATCACCAAGTCATCACTATGTTTTAAAACTGGGTTGCAGTTGCATGCATCCATCACAGTCTGAAAAATGGCCATTTCAGCATTTCAGTACCATTTCAGCCTTTATTATGTGGTTCCATTTAAGTCTCCCCATAGACGTTTAATTTTTCTTTTCCGTTCAGATATAATTATTTGGGTATGTCCTTGTGAATTAGTTCCTGATGCTCCGTGAATACCCACCTAAAGCCTTCAGCATCTTCTTCTCCAGTTTCTGGTCCTTGCCCACGCTGGTGTCCATCATGCCGGTGACCACCACATCCTGCTCTCCAATCAGTTCTTCAGGCTCCTCAGGCTCCACCAGGCTGGCCTCTGACTGGTACGTACTGATGATGTCCTCCAGTTGCTGGTTTAACTCTTCCGTCACGTCCACACATGGATCTGCAGTGCTGTAGGCACCAGTGGTGACCTTTGAGAGTGTGGCTTGGTTCTCCATTCTACCAGACGTGCCTGGAAAATAACTTTGCGTGAATAATTCCAGAACAGAACTGGAGAATCATTCCACTCGAAATTGGCCACGTCAAATGTGCATAACTATCATGAATATCAGGTTCTGTGGCGACTGGCATCCCATCCCGGGTCTCTACTGCCCTGTATTTTCTGGGATAGGCTCCAGGGTCTATGTGGCCTTGTACTGAATAAGCTGAAAGTTGGGATGGATGGATGGATGGTTCCCAGGTGGCCACCTCATGACGCTGACATAGAGGAGAAAGCTGGGTCAGCCAGTCCCTGGAGCAATTGGGGTTAAGGGCCCAATGGTGGGATCACACTGCTGATCCAGGGATTTGAACCAGAGAAGCCCCCCCAGCCCCCAACAAATTATTTTTTTGTTTAACAGCTTTTTTGGTCAGAGAATAATAAGGCGATATATGCTATTTTATATTTTAGATGTCTTTATAATTATTCTAATATGTAGAAAATTGTACAAATAAACCTTAAGGTAGGTGTGTCCAAACTTTTGACTGGCACTCTACCTTGACCATTTTTTATATACAGGTCCTGAACAATCAGCAAAATAAGAGCAAAACACACAGTTGTATGTCATGGTATGAAAGACAATATTTTGATTACAGTGACTTTGTGGTAATAGCCTCATCCTTTCAGTGTATTGCTTTAAAATGAAAAAGAAAAACATGAATATATATGAGAATCCAAAGTAGATCAATGTCGGTGATCAGTAAATATATACTTCCTGACCCTGGAAAGTTAATACAGAAGTACTGTGCCAATTTTTCCGAAATATGCTTTGAATGTCAACCATGTATGCAAACGGTTCCTTGAGCATTCTGTTCTGAAAAGACCTGAGCCAGAGGTCATGTAGTATTTCTTCCCCCCTGTTTATCTTCAGGAAGTTAGCTCTCCACTCTGACCATCCCCCATCTCCAACACCCCGTCTGATTCCACAGGCAGTCACATGGCACCTGTTCCAGTGCCATAGTCTATTTTAGGAACGTCTTAATATGGTCAAGCTATTTTTTATTCCAGCCTTGTCCTTACTGCAGTCAGTGATAGTACGGTATAAAGCATAAACTCAGAGCCCCACTACAAAACTGCATGCTGAATCGTAACGGGATTTACGCTGGAGCCAAAGTGTCTTCACTCTCAACGTTCAAGTTGAGCTAGCTTATTTCAGATAGACTTGTTGCATATTGCTTTTGTCCTGTCTGAATGGAACATACTATTTACATGTGTGTTAAACACTGTACATCTTGACTTACAGGCTCACAAACCATGATTCACTCCCATGTAAAATACTGTGCTTTGGCAAAATGTATGTCTGTGCGTCTGTGTGTGTGTGTGTCTGTGTGTGTGTGTGTGTGTGTGTGTGAGTGTGTGCGTGCGTGTGTGTGCTACCTGCTAAAGAATTCCTGGCTACTGGAGACTCAGCGAGTCACACAGTTAACTGCACTCAGTAATGTAACTGTTCCTATGCAAACGAGAAGCGGTGCCGTCCTCAGAGGAACGTGCTAAATTAGCAGCACACTTTCTGTACAAAAATTGCAGACCACACAGAGGAGAGACCATGGAGCCGCAACTTACCGGGACCAGAGGGGAGAGAGAAGAGAGGGAAGTAAAGTGAGGTCCCAGAGGTAGGCAGCATGGGGACAGCTGTGACAGGCAGGGCTCAAAATAACCGGGAGGAGTAGCTTCTGCAACGCTAGGCTTGTGTGGGACAGAGGGGTTTTCTTAGGATGGTAACCTGCATGTTCTTGTCACAAAATAAAAATGAAGTTGGGGGGGTCATAGCCAACCTTAACCCCTCCCCAGCCCTAACCTTAAGCATAAGAAACCTTGCATTTTTAGTTTTTTGATTGATGTATACCTGGGCCTCACACACAAACACACACATTTAGATTTAAATTGCGTGAGTGCATAGGTGTGCATGTGCGAGTGAATGGTGTGAGTGAATGGTGTGAGTGAATGGTGTGAGAGTTCTTCTGATAGGCTGGCACCCCATCCTGGGTTGTTCCCTGCCTTGTGCCTGTAGGTTCTGGAATAGGCTCTGGATCTCCAGCAACCCTGTGTGTGTGTGTGTGTGTGTGTGATTTTTATATTACATTGTGGGGACCAAATATTCCCCACAATGTGATTAAAAACCTGTTATTTTGACATTGTGGGGACCATTTTTCAGGTCCCCACAAAGATTTGTGAATGCAATCAAAAAAACTAAAAATGCCAAAAAGTCTCATATTTAGTTTGGTTACTTGTGGTTAAGGTTAGAGCTGAGTAGGGCTTAAGGTCGTCATATTGGGATTAGAGTTTTCCCCATAGAAATGAATTGAAAGTCCCTACAAAGATATAATTACAAACCTGTCTGTGTGTGTGTGTGCATAATGCATTATGGGAGAATTTAATAATACATGTGCATTTGTTGTGTATATCCATATCCATTTGCTAAGCATTTATCACAGGAAGGGCGAGAGTCTGTCTCAGGCCACTCAGGACGCAAATAAATTAAAATTATGATCGATCATTGTTCAGTGATGCACCAACCGCACTGCATTTTGTAGCAGGTTTTTCTCCATCTGTGTTAAGCAACAGTCTCCTTTTCTGCCGACAAAGAGCTTACTGGGGATTATTGTGGGATCACATGTTCTTTTGTTTTTCACTTTTGTCTTTTTTCCTGCCAAATGGCTAAATTGATAATGGTGTGGCAGATTAAGGGGATATAGGCATAAATAAGGACTTTCGACAGTGTAAGAATGTGACTTGCACTCTAATGTTGACAGATTCACTATGAAGGGAACGCGTGGTACGATAGATCCGACCTCGGCTAGTCAAGACTTGACTATATCAAGAACTTTTATGAGGGATCGCATAGTTGCAACTGCTGCAACTTTTCTGTTTAAAAATAAACTATTTATGGAGGATATGTACTCATTCTGTGGTACGTCTATTAATTAAAAAAAATTGCACCTAATAAATGCTTTCGAATAGAAACCGATCTTAAGTCACACTGTAAGTTCTGCTCTCAGGATACAAGCTCTTTCTGTGTGTGTTGGCTTTCCAAGTCTCTCCGAACGATCTGCTTCTTTTGCTTTGCTGCTTTTATTTAAGCTGAAGCCTCCAATTGTGGTTGGTCCCTTATACACTCTCGTCTTTAGCTTGGCTCACATGCTCTTCTGTAAAGTCATGGGCTTCGGGGTTTATGGCAATGAAGAGCTTCGCTTCAGATGTGATGCAGACCTCAGGGAGACCAACCTCTACTGTCATCATCACTTCAGGTGGGTAACACCTCAGGTGAGTGACGGGTCAGGAGGACGGTGCCCTTCTTAATAACTGAATCCCTGCATCGCAGGTTTTAGAGATGCTAATTAACCAGGAGATCTTCAACCTCCACACACGCAGGGCTGGAGCCAGGGAAGGAGCCTCTAATGCAGGAGATGTGAAGTTACCTTGCTGCCCCCTGAGTCACTGTGCCAAGTAGTTATTAATACTAGGGAGGACTCCAATATACTGTAAGCAGAAGAGGGAGTTGGTTAGGGCCCCCAAATTACCTGTGTTGCAGAGGAAGTGAAATGATCATCGATTTTCTTGGTAGGGTGGCCTCCCAACTAAAGCCTAGGCCCCCCGATAAGGTCGAGCCGGCTCTGCCTCTGCCTCTGCCTCTGCCTCAGCCTCTGCCTCTGCGCGTGACGTTACGATGTTTGCGCCATAGACAAAAAGTTCAGCCTCACCTTCACTTTACTGCGGTTACGGTGTCGCTGCGAGTAGCAGAGATTTTCTCAGACACTTTGTTGGAAATTCATTTGTTTGACGGGTCAGTGATTATCCTGCTACTGCCTAATGAATTTGGAAACACACAATAAGGCCGTGGTACATTAAGGGTAAGTGTGACTATGAATTACCTGCCAGTTACATTATTCATTATTTAATTATTAAAGTATCTTCATTAATATCTCTAAACATATAAATGACATATAAACTCATACTGCTTCTGTAAGACTTTTATGCTTCAAAATAGTGGGAAGTGTGTACATATGAGGCCTAAGCGTATTTACAATAATAATTTGTGAATTTCTTTTAAATGGTATTGTTTGTATAGATACTGTGTAGTCAGTTCAGCATGCGCTTGTATACCATGTATATTTCTACTTTTTTACATTGAATTTTCTCAACTATTTTTTAACATTACATTGGAAATTCTTGTCCTGAAAAATATAACAATCAGGATTTTGACCATTTAGCGTACCATGTTGTTTTACGTTATCAAAATCACCGAAACGCTTTTCTCGCGCCCCTTTTAAGCGATTATTCAAATTATTACAATTAGCTAAAATCATAAATTATTATTGTGTATGTGTATATTGTACCACCGGTTAAAACTACAAGTAGTTCCAGCAGATCGATAAATGGACATTGAAATTATCACCGCGTGACAAAGAAGCACATTTACGAAAATCAGACTTTACGGGCTATTTGGTTAACGTCCTTTTCATTTATTGCTATAGCGCCACTGAAGGTACGCACTGAAGAAAAGCACAGATTTACAAAGAGGGGCAGAAGAATAACCAAAAGAACTGAACAAGTAGGAAAACTATTCTTAATTACACATAAGAAAAATACTAATGTTTGTTTATAATATCCTGTAAGTACTGTCTGTGTCAGTGTTTGTAGCCTCACAGCTACATGACATGATTCACAAGTAACAAAGTGCAGCGAGTATAGACAATAAGCAAATAACACAGATTTATATATATACATACGTAAACTATAGCCTACCTGTAACAGGATGTCCAGTTTAATTTATTCTGAGTTAAGGCCAACAGATTCTCAATGAATTGCCATTTAAATTCCATCCACTTAATCCAGCTAGTTTCTACACACTTAGACTCAAGAAAAAAGTGCCGTTTATTTTCATTTTTGTACACATTTAACAAACATTCATTTAAAATGCTAGCACTTTTTAAAATTCCAATCTGTTATATATTACGATAGTACTAAGATCTTTGCTCGTTAAAATTTCATATACATATTTATAGCAGCAGTACCTTGCAACAAATGCACCAAACATGAGCTTAAAATGTTAATCTCATCATATGTATGCATATACAGACATTAAGGTTTATTATACATAAAGCAATTTTACACTATACATATTCCATATTTGTTTTTCAGATTTAGTGACAGAGATCGATACATACAAAGAGGCGACAATAATAATTACATACCACTGTAAATACAATTTCAGAGTAGCAGCTGTACACAAAAATATTTAGACTCCATTCATGTAAAAATATGTTTCAGTGCAACCTCACATGTATTAATACTTCACATCTTTCAGACTCCTGTTAAGTTCAAATTTATTACAAAGGGAATTTACACAAACCAGATATATGTACATCTCTCCATTCTCAATATAGACTTAATCATAGCACAAAAATAAAGAAAAGGCACACATATCATAACATTGAGAAGTACCAGAGTGGACAAAAAAACCTCTATGAGCAATTTTGGCCAGACTTACATGTCAGTATATACAGTATAACCATACACAACCACTTTTTAACTCGTAATTACTGGAATTCAATGTTATAAAAGGCATGCAATACAGTACTTTACATTCAAACTACAATATTAAATTATTGGTATATGTAAAGACTTCAGTACCAATGTATGGTGTGTGAATTCTGTGTGTTTGTATATGTGTTTGCATGTATTATCCCTTTTTTGCCTGTGATCCGTGACTCCTTGTCCAGTTTTTTGTGCTTATTGGTAATGCCCTCAGGTCATTTTGCCAGTAAATCTCTCCCTGGAACTCGTAGTGCGGAAGGCTGCCCAGGGCGATGGAGGACATGCCAAGCCTGAGCCGTCCAGAGCTGAGTTGGCCAGGGGTGGGGGGAAGCTGACACGTCAGTCCTGGGACAGTGCGGATATCGGAAACCGCTACAGTGCTGGATCTGTGAGCCGTGTGTCGTCTCAGGAATTCACGTGAGGATGGGAAGGCGGCTGCCGGTCATCGGGATGCTCTTGCGCGCTGATCCTGAGGGAGGCGATGGCCTTCATGCAGATCTGCACGCTCTCATCCGGCGCGCCGGCCTTGTCCCCGGCATCCTGGCTGACTCTCTCGGGGGTGGGAACGGGCAGCCCCTCGCCCGCCGCTTTACGGCTAGCCTCGCCACGCTGGAAGGGTACGGTGCTGGCGACGGCCTCGCCAAGCGTGTTCTTCAGCAGACCTCCGGCAGACAGAGGTGCGGCTGGAACCATCTGGATCCCCCCAATGGGGACGGTGGAGACCGGTGTCCGTACCAGGAGCTGGGAATGCAGGGGGAGATGACTGAAGAGACCCTGCTGGGTACTTGGAGGTACTAAGCTGCGGTGGTCTTCACTGGGAAGGTGTGATGTTTGGGGAGAGCTTTTCCTCTGCTCCTGAAACCAGAGATTTCATTTATCATGTTTTCAAAAAAATTTGAACAACAAGACAGAACTAATGAACAAGACAATACAGAAATCCAAAACTTCTCTAAAGGTTTTTTTTCCATCAAAGAAATGAAATATCCAATGATACCTACCATGTTTACATCTGAGCGACTGTCGAATGTGGTTAATTCTGACGGTAGGTTCAATCCCTGGCTCCAGGGGACACTGTGGTGGTGCATTCCCCTCCGAGGTGACACGGGCCTTATGGTGCCTCGATGCCTACTCCTGGGAGACAGCTCACGTTTGCAAGTTATGTCCCTTCCAGGTGACACAGGCCTAGCGATCAGGTCAGTGGAGGAGTGCGCTCGTGGAGAGAAGCCCCGCCTGATGGAGATGTCCTTCTTTGGAGACACATGCCTCAGGTGCCCCTGGGATAGGAGATCCCGCGAAGGACACAGGTACCTGTGTGGTGTGGGTGAGGGATCCCTGTGCGGTGATGAGTCGTAGCCAGGGGATGGCAGACTAGATGGAGAGAAATCGGTGGTTGTGAAGCTGTGTTCTGGTGACAGTGCAGAGGTCTTGTCCAAGGAGCCAGCCATATTAAGACTTTTCTCATGCTCATCGCCCGTCAGCCCTTGCGTTGACCTCTGGCCCTCCACCATCTGTGCCTTGCAAGCCCTATCACCTTTTTGTCTTAGCTGGATGTCAGGCAGCCCGAAGAGTGGCTGCCTGGCAGCTGGGTACGGGAAGTCCGAAGAGGCCCCCAGGGACACGGCGGAGGCAGTGATGGGCACAGAGGGTGATCCAGACAGCTGGGGGCTTGTGCTTCTGGAACGTGTCCGGGGTGTGGAGTCGCCCTCGTACTCTTCATCCTCATCATCGTCCTCCTCATTCTCATCGGCTTCCTCTTCGACCCCTTCAGAGTCATCAGCGTCAGAGAACTGGTGCTCAGCAATTACTCCCGTTCGGTCTGACTTCCAAGGTGCCCTCTGTCCTTCATCCACATTGTCTAAAACAAAGCATATGATAGACACACTAATTACCCCTTTGTGATGCTTGGCTGCAAACTCAAACCAAGTAAAGGAAGTCGATCACGGCACATCAAGAATGAAATGCTAAATATGTTTTATTTACAGAAATAAATACAGTAATTCTGCTGCCTACCGGCTTCCTCTGCCTCTGGTGTCTCCACGGACGTCAAAGACACGCCAAGCTCCACGCATTTCTTCATGTGCGCCTTGGACTTCATGTGTTTCGTCAGATTTCCTAAATCAGAAATCAAAGAAGTCCAGGTTAACGTTGCTTTTTCGTTTGTTCAACAAACAAACATGATACATTCTAGAAAAACAGCCTTTCATCTTAAAGGCGAAACTGCAGAACTTGCAGATGTATGAACACAGACGCTTTTTTGTTTGTCTTAACAAACAAACATGTCGTATATTCTAAAAAAAAACAACCTTTCGTCTTGAAGGCGAAATTGCAGAACTTGCAGACGTATGGCCGGACGTCGGTATGCGTGCGAATGTGCTTCTTCAGCATGCTGGGCTTCTTGCAGCGGATGCCGCATTCCTCGCAGATGTACTTCCCTCTGCCCCTGCCCCTCACATAAACGTAGTCTTCATTGGATTTGTACCTGGAACCCAAGCAGGCCTTAACATCAGGAGATGATATTGCACAGCATATTCTGCAAGCAGGCCGGCCCAAAAGTTCATGGGGACCGGACAGCCATCCATTCATCGGATACACATCGACCACTGCCGCAATAAAGCTTGGGATCTCACAGGACCTACACCACCCTAGAGTCCGATTGAAGGTTTCGCAGCATGATGACATCGAGTATCAGATTTAAGAAGAGTTTCTTCTTCCCAAGCTATCCATAATCATCCATCCATCCATCCATCAAGTTTCTATACCCACTTGTCCTATTCAGGGATGCATGGGTCCGGAGTCTATCCCGGATGCTATGAGCACCAGGCAGAAAGAGCACCAACACACCGTAGGGCACACACACTATTCACACACACATTCACAGATACAAACAATTTGGTGACTCCAACGCTATCCACTCAACGTGGCTAAAAACTAATTATGGACCACTGTGATATTACTTGCACCTGTATCTTATGCTAATCGTGATGCCTAGCTGTTACTCGTGCATCTACTGGCCATTTATTTGTTAGTAGCTGTTTGTCAGTCTTGTACTGGAAGTAGCTTAACAAGTAAGCACTATAATATACTTGTTGCACATGGGCAAGAAAAAATGTTGAATCATATTCACCAAGCTCATGTTTATTAACCAAAATGTAGCCTTCTTATGAACTTTTCCATTGAGTTGTTGCAGGCACACACTGCATTAGATAAATAAATAAGCACAGCTTACTTCTGGGATGTTTAAAAATAGATTTTTTTTTACAGGCACTGCATGAAATATTCACAATTTGTCAGTAAACGAGAGTGACTCGTGTATCAGGTTTATAATGTTGCGTGGAGACATAGATTACACCTGCGGGAACAGATTCTGCTGGCAAGCGACAAAACCAAGTTTTCCAGCTGAAAACTCTGCTCTTTTTGCTGCTGTTACACATTATGAGCCATTAAACCACAGTAAAAACATGGTATACTTCATGGCCAGACAAGTAATGCACGCTCACCTTCTGGGTTTCATTCTTATGTCATTTTTAAAGCAAAAGTGTCAGATTTATAAATAAAAATTAAAAAAACACTGACCATAGCAGACCAGCAGTGCTCCACCTAGATATCTAGTCATGAAACATCTAACTGCTTATCCTGGTCAGGATCACCAGGGGCTCTGCAGCACATCACAGGGCACAGCCTGGATGGGATACCAATCCACACACACACACACACGCACACAGATCAATTATATATATGTTTGTAGGGACTCACCAATTATGTCCCAGTTATGACAACCTTGACCCCTAACCCATTCCTAACCTTACCCATAAGTAACCAAACTAAACATTAGACTGTTGGCATTTTTAGCGTTTTGATTGCATTATAAAATTGTTGTTATCCTTGTTGGGACTGAAAAAATCCCCCAACAAGGTAAAAAGTTACAGGTTTTTATCACGTTTTGGAGAAATGGAGAAATCTGATTCCCACAATGTAATAATTACAAACACACACACACACACACACACACACACACAGATTAGGTATCTATTCCTTTGTGGGGACTCTCCATTAATTTCTATGGGCACAACCCTGATCTCAACTATGACAACTTTAACCCCTACCTGGCCGGAACCTTAACCACAAGTAACCAAACAAAGTACAAGACTTTTGACATTTTTGTTTTTTGATTGCATTCACAGATTTTTAGTCACACTGTGGGGACACCTGGTCCCCATAAAGTAATATATACATGGCCATGTACAAACTATGGGCAATTAAGAGACACAAATGAACCTAATCAGATGTTTCTGGACTGTAAAATTTGTGTGACATGGGGAGAACATGGAAGCTCCACACACACCCAACAGAGGTGAGATTTGAACTCTTAACGTTAAAAATGTGAGGTAAAGGGTCTAGCCACTGAGCCGGCATGCCACACGCCATGCTGTTCTAACTTATGACTGATGGTCAAAATTTGTATTTTTTTTTGGGGGGGGGACTCTTGTACAGAGAAGCCCCCTACACTTACCCTCCATCAAAAATCTTGATGCGGTTTGGTTCGGCCGCCTTCCCTGAAGGCTCCTTCTGCCTGTAGCCCTCGGCTACTCGCTCTCTAATGTTGGAATCTTTTGTTCTTTTCTCCAGCTTCACATCTAGCTGCATGACTTCTGGTTTCTCCTGAGCATGAAATACAGAGAAAAACAAACCGTCCATGTGATAAAAACAAATATATATATATTTTTCTAAACCAAAAGACAAATATTTTAATGGTCAGCTAGATAGATGACTGATAATAACATGCAATAAGACTTTCACTATTATGAATGGTGTTAGTTATTAAAAATGATATTATAATGTACCATGATGCTAATGCTAATAGCTTTATACTCACCTGGTCAAACTTCTGTTTCCACAAGAGCGAGGAAACAACTTTACCAGTTCCCTGCGGATACATAGAAGCCATCGTGTATGACTCTGCAGTCTTCCTCTGCTTGGAACGCAGCAATGCTAGGCTTGTCTTTGTGTTTAGGTCCGGTGGATTTGGATTATAAGAGCTTACAAACCACGAACCATAAACAGAGGCGATGGAGCTGGTCTGAGCTGTGTTTGGCTTGGTGTAATTCAAGAAACACCAGCTCACACTCGTGGACGTGCAAAGACTAGGGAACTGAGAACTCATTTGGTCATGGCCAACGTCAGCGAGCAAAATCGTGCTCCCCATAATAGTGCTATCTTGACTGGTAGCAATCTCCACCAGCATCTTTAAAGGTGCCTTACTGTCCATCATCTCTTGGATTTCAGCTGTAGGTGGGTAAGGTTCATCAATGTCTAGGCTCTCTGGGGACTGCATTCCTTCGCGGGTGTCTACTACCCCTTGTAAATGAGGTTCGGCTGCAGGTAAGGTGACGACTGTGGAGGGTAAATGTAACAGCGGTGAAGCTGACATTCTCTTCTGGTAGTCAGCTGACCCACGGCTCTTAAGGTCTGACTTCTGTGACTTCCCACTGGCTTTTGTCACACGGGTATTGTCGAGCTCCACAGCACTGAGCTCTTCCACAATCTGACCATACATTTTTTCCTCCTTAACTCGTTTTTGCTGTTTGGTTTCAATGAAGAGCTCCACGCTATTGGCTGGGGATAATATGCGTTTATTTCCACCAGTACCTGAAGCATCAGTGGTTGAGATAGTTCCAGAGGTCAAAGTCAGAGGAATTCCTGTGTTCATTCTGGCAGGCTTAACTTCTTGTAATTTCCATAATGGGTAATGCACAGGTTCATTAGTATTACTTGGTATATGGGGTAAACTAAAAACCTTTCCATCATTTGAACTAGTCTTTGTGTACGAAGTATTGTCCTTGAGATTGCAAATAGCCATAGCTGAACTGTTACTTTGGGAATGGGTAGCTAGTATCTGTGAGACGGTCGTATACATGACGCTACAGTAAGATGGCACCTGAGTTTGAATCCTGACAGGAACTGACGTGTCCGGTGGAGGTGGCTGCGAACCAGCAATTTCAGGTGGTAGGATAGTTTGAAATGGTTGCAGAAGCCCTGTGCTGCCAGAAAAGGCTTTAGACAGGAGATCACTGAGACTCCAAGGAGAAGCCCTTGGAAGATACGGTCTCTGTGTTAACTCCGACTGACAGAACACTTCTGACTGAGGTGACAGGATGGCAGGTTTCCCTATTAACTCTTTGTTAAGGGCTTCAGTTGACCAGTGTTCACGTTGTTGCTCCAGCAAGTGAGATGTTCTCTGCTTCAGGAAACCCGTCCCTGGATGGCTGTCTTCACCTTTGCTCGATAAAGCTACATCGTAAGCAGGAGAACTGTTTGGCCTTTCGGTCAAAGATGAGGGAGTACTCAGCCATAAGCTATGTAATAGAGGGGAACTGTTGCCTTCTATTTGTTCTTCCTTAATTTTCAAAGCTAAGCCCTTGTCTTGCGTGACGGATTCAGGAAATACGCTTAGCGGTGCCTGTCTAACTAGATAACCCCGTCGCCGCTCCTTCATTGCTGAAGCGCTACCATAGACGTCACTCAAGTTCGACGAAGACAACAGCCCCCCATAGTCAAACGACTTGCTGCGGATCTCCGGCACCTCGGCGTTCAACACACATGCCGTCTGCTCCGAGGAGGAGCGCCTCACCTCCTTCCGCTGGGACTGGTTGCGTACAGGGAGAGTGCGTCCGCTGCATGGCACAGTTAAGAACTCGGACTGCTTGCCAAAGTCGTCCTGCTTAGCCGGCGAGGCCGACTTATTACTTTCCTCCCTGTCAAATGACATTGAGAAGCTTGAGCTGGGAGACAAATGACTCTCTTGGCTGGGGCTCCGGGAGAGGCTGGTGCAGGTCGATTCAAAGCTAGATTCCCCAGAGGAGTGTTCCATTTCAGCCAGGCGCAGTCGTTTCTTTTTCGGTGGCAACTTCTCCGCAGGAAGCTGAGACAGGGTTTCACTTCTCTGCGGCCATTGGAAGTCCTCCACATGCTTCTCTGATTCTTTATTTGATGTATCTGGCCCCTCTTCTGGTTTGTCGGGCTCCTCTGTCACTCTAATTTCAGGCACTTGGATGTTAGCTTGACGGACCAGTTTGTGCGGCAACCGATAAGATTGGTCTGCTGGTTCGCTGCCCATCTGTTGCAGCTCCGTGTGGCCAGACCTTTTCTGGTCTGAAAGATGCACTTCCCCAGGTTTTTCTGAGTCGGGCTGCTCCAAATACTGGCCAGCAAGTGTACCCAGTGGGTGGAAAGTTTGGTCAATTGAGTCCGACTTCTCAAAAGAGCTGGGCCTACTTAAAGAGTTTGTGTGCTGAATAACTGAGATTACATTCCCTCCAGTCTTCCTGTCAAGGTCTGAAATGAGCACTGTTTCATCTGTTGCCATGCAGGTACCAGTAGCTAAATTCTCTGGTTCCCTGTGTATACTGTACAGCTGTCCTATACCAGTAAATGCTCTTCTGAAACCATCCTGATGTTCTTGTCTTGAATCATAGTCGGTGGCAAGCATTTCAACCGAACTGTCGAAATCATTGTCGTGTTGAATGGGGAAGTCTTCTTCGTCACCGACACTCTTCTTCTTCCTTCGTTTTCTCGTGGCGATTTCTGTCACCTGTTTGTGATGCATCACCCTGACTGGACCCAGAACTTCAGGGTAGCCCTCTATGCTAGAAGAGTATGAGCCATGTCCTTTTAAGTCTGACAATGAAGGAATATTTTCATCTAATTGTACTGTCCCAGGTGGCGGAAAAATGTTTTTGGAACTGGTTCCTGAGTTATCATGTTCCATGTGTCCTTCGTGGGCAATGAACTCAAATGCAGCTTGTCTCCTAAGCCTCCTCAGACCCACTGAACTCCGATAAAAGCCAGTGTCAGAGGTCATCCTCTCATCAAATGAATGACTCCCCTGTAATCCTTGCGGTGCACTGAGGTTCCCTGCTGGCGGCGTTGGCACTGAGTTGCTTCTCACCAGAGGCCCGGTGTCAGGCAGAACTTCTGAGGGACTTGTGGCAATTTGGCAGAAATTGGGAGAATACTGCCTAGGGAGTGAGCTTATTTTCATTTGTGAATCTACATCATCCCTCAAAAATGTGGTAACGTTCTGATGAATTGGGTTAATTAATTTCTCATCTTTTGTGTAATGACAGGATTTATGACACTCCAAAGCCTTGCCTATTCCTGAACCTGGCATCGTGTTCGATTTGTCCTGTATATTAATAATATTTCTGTCTGAGCTGGTGACTTTGGCCATCGCTATTGGAACAGTTTGCCTGGACCTTGGGCCAAGTTTGTAAAACTTTCCAAACATAATTTCCTCGTAGGATTTAGCGTTTGTGTTTGGTGGGCTGATTTGCTGCTCGGCGCTTTCTGAGCGTGAGAAGTAGCCTGAGTCAGTGCTGCCTTTGCTGTGTGGGCTCAGAAGGTTCATAGAAGTTCCAGAGTCTTGCCCTTTTTTCCCAGTGAGCCTCAGAGCCAGTTTCTGTTTGATAGTGGGAAACTCATCCCCACTACTCCGATGACCACTGATATTGATATCCGTGAACCAAGGGCATTCCCCCACTGTGCACGGAATTCCCTGTTCTGACGCTACAACAATGGGAACCTCCTTAGGCGTCGCTATCAGCTCTTCAGCTGACTGAGTACAGTCCGGTCCAATTGCCATGATGCTTCTGTCTGCCGCGAGAGATATACGAGGGACAGGGCTGCCTTTGCTCAAGAACGCAGCAGACTCTTCATCTGTGTCAGTGCTCTGCTCGTAATCAGAGTGCACTTCAGCTTCTCCGCCCAGCGATGACGGATCCACACCTTTACACACAGATGTCAGCTCCGAGAATGGGATCAGCCCTGCCTTAACACTATGAGCATGTGACTTTTTGTGTTTGTACAAGTTGCTCTTGGTCTTAAAGGAGAAACCACAAGGGATACACGGGTACGGCCGTTCTCCTGTGTGGGACCGGATGTGTTTTTTTAACACACTAGGCTTAGCGCAAGCCCTTCCGCAATAATGGCAGACATATTTCCCGGGCTTCTTTGATTTTGGCACTTTCCTGAGCATGCCCCCTAGCTGATCAATCCCTGACTGGGAAGTCTGGCTGAAAGAGGTAGGTACGCGCGGAGAGTTCCTGCAAAGGAAATCGGCTTGTTGCCCTGATGTGCGGAGTTGCAACTGGCCAATCAATGGCGAGGCAAGCACTTCCGGGTCAGCCGGTGGGTTTGCTCCCGCCAGGGACCCTTTCTGCTTAGGCTTCTGTTGGTTCGAAAGCCGCAAGCGGTAGGAGTAACCGCGAGGACAACGCTGTGTGCACTGTCTTTCTAGAGATGACTGGCCCACCACAGAAGAAAGCTCTTTGCCAAAATGCTCTTCTGCCAAACATCTTCGTGACCCCAGCTGTGCATAACCTTTCCCTTTTGAATCCGCAAAAGTGCTTCTTTTGGTGCTGACCGTGGGTGCCGAAATGCCCGCGCCTTCATCTGTCTTCTCTCGGGCCTCCACTTTAGACGTTTGCCCAATAACCGATTCAGGTGGCTCCATTTTCAAACTTTGCTCTGCAGGGAATGTCCGAAGGGATGATGGTCAAAGAGCTCCTGAGTTTGCGGACATATTAATTGTCTTCTCCAGAGGGGTATTCTTCAGCGGCTGGCTGTTGCATCTTGACTTCACATGAGTCCACCTAGGAGTTGCTGATTTTATTACAAAAGCCTTCCTTGCTTATACCAGATTTCTTCAAGGTTTGGCACATTTTTACCATCTTGCTGATTTGTTCGCTTTCAAAACAAGTTTATACAAATCAGGTTTAACACAACAAATGAATTCATTCCTGTGTTGTTTCCATCTGCTTGCCGGGACAATTAACATGATATCTGGAAAAAGAACATAAAAACAGGAGTTAGAACAATTCAGAAGTACTAGAAATAAGATAAAAATAATTATTTCTCATTAATAATCATGTATGTTCTTTAATGAAGAATAATATTGATGTGTAAAAGTCGAAACTGAAAATGATGTTTTTACATGCAAACTTTAGTTATTTGCATTATCAATGTCCATGATTATTCAACTACCTAATGATTATTTCAGCAAAATTTTAAATTAGTGCTCTGAGCAAAATTGCAGCCCCTGACAAATGATTTGCACAACCAGTAATCCATTTTAAGAAATTTGTTACCTGAGATGTTAAATGGTTGTTGGACACTGGCAAAAACTATAACCTCTTAATTCCTATATGCAAGACGATTTTCTTGTAACATTATCTGGGCTTAAGCAAGATACCATTTGAAGATGACATCATCCCCCAGATGACAAATCCACTGCCTTTTTCTTTTGTATCATATGGCTAAATCATCTGCCTCTAACTCAAAGTGCAGACTTTTTAGAATTTATGTTCCTGCACTCTCAGATAATACACATCTTGGAGGAAGAAAAACAGCTCATTTGACTACACTGGAATCTGTCAAAATAACCAGTTCTGGTAAAATTGCAAGCATGTTTTTTTTTTGTCAGTCAGATTAATGAATGATAAAAAAAAATGTCTTTGAGACAGATTTAGGAAATGGCAAAGCAGTGTTGACTTTAACATTACAGACTAACACAAAAATATCAAAATTTGTGACACTTTTGTAAGTTTTAAATTTAGTACAGAAAGAAAACCTTTTTCCAATCTCTCCAAAAAACACAAAGGAAAACAGAGTGAAAAGAAGCACCTATAACCTTCAACAGTACATCAGTGCGAAACTGCAATTCTTTTTCCCATTAAGATTCTACTATTTCACCCATTCTAAAGAAACCCCCACAGAATGTGGTGCTTATAAATATGAATGACCAGCGTCCAACTTTCAAAGCAATATCTTTAAAAACCACCACGTACAACTGCACATCCACAACACGTCATTTGATTTATCCCAATATTACACGACACAGTTTTGACCTAAGATAATAAAGCAAATAAATACATTCCATTTGGTGATTAAGTGTATTTAAAAAAAGTGGGAAACACAGTGGAAATAAATTTAATAGCTAATTAGTTTAATAGATAAATGCTAAGAAGCTCAACATGGTGAAGCAGACATAACCAGGTGCAGAATGTAATGCATCTCAGCTACTCCTATATACATTTAATGCTATAGAATCTATCATCCGTCCATCCATTTTCGGAAACCGCTTAATCCCAACAGAATCCATCATTCATGATCAATTTTGATTGTCATCTATGTTACAAGCAGAATGTGCTCACTGCTCTTTTCTGGGCCTGACCATGAAACGATTTTCCTCATATTTTTGTATACATTTCGTACCCCTATCTCAGCAAATTGAATCATTCCCCCCCCGTCACAAATCTAAACTTGTGAGACCTGAGGGTGGCTTAGGCATCCCATATATCTTCAGGGAGCTGACCCTGAAGATATATGGGATGCCTATATATATATACATATTTATACACACACAAACATATATAAAATTCTGATTTCAAACAGTGCAAAACAAGCAGAAATCTTTCAGTTGCTGCGAAACATCACTTCGCGGAGAGCAATGAGGTCAAGTCTGGCTCTCTGCTGGCTCCGAGACGCCATGGAAACCACAGGAAACCATGGGAACGGATGACTGCCTCGTCAGGTCCACCTGTGCTGGTTTGACGACTCCACAGCCAAAGTAACATAAGGCTTCCCTGCTGCTGCTAACACATAGCACTCTGTCACAAATGCTCACCTGTTTTGATGCTGTCCTGAAGGGTGGAAAACCAATCTCAACTGCACACTGCAGACCAGTTAAGAACATTCAGACCCCCAAGGAAAAAATAAATGGATCCCCCTGTGTGTCAACATTATTATAGTGGAAAAAAGTGCTATATCGAGACTTTATGTGCATTTTGATTATGTTTCGTGAGTAACATCTTACCTGTAATTCTTTGTAATCATTTTTGAGGTAACTTTATGCTATAATTATTCATTCCTCTGGCCATTCATCCATCCATATATATTCCAACTGCTTATCCTAATTATAATATACAGAGTATAATTATCATTACTTTATCATTTATTTTAAAGTATAACACCACACGAACGTGTACCTACTGTACATCGCGCTAATATGCCGGTTAGCCTCCCGATGCTAATGTCAAGCAATGTTGCTAAATGCCTCCGACATCACAAATCTCCTCAAATCCTCCCATCCCGGTGACTCGAGGCATCAGAATTTGATAATGGAGCCGAAAGATAAGGAGGCGGTGTTAGTGAGGGATTTTCGCCGTCCTTTCAACGATAGCGCCCACTGCCGTCTCCTGCTGCAGCCTGTCCAGGCGACACCAGGCACAGACGTACGCACACCGAAACGACAGGCAAGCACAGCTTGTTTTTCATTCTCTGAAAGAGTGAAGGGAAAATATATACATGTGCAGACACATACATACTACAGATTCATTGATCCAAAGCACTGCTGCTTTTCAAGGACACTCTATAGAAGTGCCATTACACAACTAACAGACCGGCTGTCTTACTCACTGTGAGTCAGCCTGTAAAATTCTTCTGAGCCCATCTGCTGTCACCAAGCACCCCGCAGCCTCCAGACCCCAAACCTCCCCGGCATGACTTTACTTGACAAATATTTTGGCCTTCAGAGTGATTTCTCACAACCGAACAGGGAGTTACAACATACCCGCAGGATGACTTTGGTTGCGTAATAGCACCCCAAGCCGTGCATATATCCCCCCGTTACACCGATGGTCTCTCTGAAAATGTGATTTTTTTTTTTTTCCCAGAACACTCCGGGCTATTCTTGACAATCAGAGGCAAAGCCCAAGTCAGGGATTGGCAAACAGAGCAGATTATCGCCAGAGATTGATTCCCGTCCATCACAGACTGGGACCTCTGAGTACTTCCTTAGGGAAAGCTACCTGCCAGAAGAAGGTGGTTTGAGGATTTACTGAAAGTGTCACCACTGGCCATTGGCTCTACTCTTAAACTTTCACTGCAAAAACGCTTGGGGGAGTGAGAGACTAAGCAACATGCGGATGTTTATTTAGAAAATATGAAGGTTTTCCTGCTCCTCAGACCTCTGGATTAAGGAGAAATAGCTTAACCTCCATTACAGGAACATTTTGTTTTACAAGAAACAGAAGCTTAAAGTCAAAGTTTCAACTGAAAAGATTCAAAAGATTGACAGGATCTGAATCAAAAGTCCGGAAGTTTTTGATATAATTTGTAATTTTATTCATTCATTTTTAAAACTACCTTAAATAATTTAAATATTAGCAAAACAAATGGCAGTGAAATATTCCACTATCCAATTTAACTTCATATCATTCTATTTCCCATAGAAAAACATGCCACATTTTCCCAGTTAGTAATTTTATGGAGAAGATACCATATTTGCATACAGTTTAAAAGTATAGTATTTGGCAGTTTCAGGGGCAGTTGATTTATTCATATTGGTGATACCAAGGGGAGACTATTATTAGTATAATAATACTACTACTACTAATAATAATAATAATAATAATAATTATTATTATTCTAATAAAGGCTTCCTAGTGCTTGTCTCTTTTAGGAAGCGGTATATCACTACAAAAAAATGACCCACACAAACCAGAATATGTCTCTCAGACGTATGTTTACTCCAGAGAGAAATAAGCTGTTCCAGGAATTTCCAGGACATCACGCTGCCTTCTTCCTCGCAGAGGCTGCTATTGTGCTGTAGCAGTTATCGATGCTTTAAAAGCATGTGTAACAATTAAAACCTAATTGTGTTTTTTTTTTCTTTCAGGACCAGCCCTGCTATTTACACGTTGCACATTGGTAAATATCAGCCACTCCTGTAAGCCCACTCCCCACCCCCAGCCCCCCACCATGTGATTCAGAGGTTGTCTTAGTTAAGAAGCCTCCCAACCCACAGAAGCTTCTAGTAAATTATTTTAAGCAACAGCAGGTGGAGCATGATACATGTAGTCCTGGCAGCAGTGCTGGCACAGACACTTACAATCATTTAGAATGCAAACAAGATGTATTTAGTGCATAGGAGACGGATCTGACGTTAAAGAAGGTGGCTGGGAGCGAGAGCGAACTCCCCAACTGATGCCCACCCTACGGATAAAGGAAAAGTGACCCGGAGCAGAAGGTTGAAGCACCGACTTAAGCACTAGGCTGAGCAGGACTAGCCGCAGCTCGCGGCCAGGAGACACATTCAGCTATCATTGCCACAGCCACCGGTTAGTGAGGCAGCGGGCAGCCGGGCAAGTGGCCCGGCGCTTTTGGACGCGGCACGGGCAGATCCACTTCCTTCCGACCTCGGTTTCGTTCCGCCAGCCTGAAGGCCTAACCGCAGGGCCCTTGGCAGATTTAACGACGGGACAGAGCCATAAAACATAAACCAAGAGGATGGATGCCGAGAGAATGGGCTCACGGACAAAAACCTCGGAGGCAGTGCCCTCCTTTCAGGACTGTGGCCGAAAAATTTAATAGAGGGACTGGCACTGGTCTACGGTCCAAAGACAATCGATCCACTTCCCTTGCCAACCCCCTGCTCGAGCGCATAACTGAAACACGCGCACCCACTGTACTGAGGGGTTTCTGGAAACCAGACCTGTACAGTACAGTCCCAGCGTGCACCTGCAGAACTCTCGCCTTCCACACTTGTGGCGGGCGTATTGCCGACAGTATCTTCATACATATTTAACATCACGACTTTGTTACAGTATGCACCAAGCACATGGACCAACAAGGGTGCAAAGAGGCTGAAATATTAAGCGACTTCCACAAAAACTGAACTCTTGGCTCAACATTAGGAGGTTCTAAGGTTCTTGTAGGAGATGCTATAGAAGAGGTATAACAACAAATGCAGACCCAGAAGGATAAAAACGACACGAACAAACAAATAAAAGGCATTCTTCTGTACCTAGCCTCAGCAACGGGTAGGTGGGGGTAACGGAAGGCGGGGGGCAGAAACTGATAAATGTTGGAGCTGTCCAAACTCACTCCAAGGTCATTTCAAATTCACCGCTACTTTCCCCGCAGGTGAGTGGGGGAGAGTGGTAAGCTCTGCGTGCCATTACGCACATCAGAGGGGGGGGGGGGGGGGGGGGGGGGGGGGGGGGGGGGGGGCTTTACCTCCGACGCACTACGTCATCGCACATGAGCACGTCGTGATACCTTGGGCTCAGGGACTTGGGAACCTTGTTGGTTCTGGTCCCACAGTTTGCCTGCTCATGTTGTCATCAAGCCCTCGCTGCGCCCCAAGCCTGCCGACCCCCTGGATGGGACCCAACCCCCCCCT